AGATATCTACTTGCGTAGTAAACTCAAACGTGCTGTTATTCGCAGACGACATCAAGCTCTTTTTAAGTATTAGTTTGATCGATGACTGTGACCTTCTTCAGAGTGACGCATCGCATATTTTAGACTGGTGTCGGGAAAATTGCTTAATCATCAATCCAGAAAAAACGAAGGTCATGTCTTTCAGTAAAAAACGTGAAATTATACACTATTCATACTCAATTGATGATAAGTGCATTTTAAGAGTATCATCGCTTCGTGATCTAGGAGTGTACTTTGACACTACTCTATCATTTGGCTGCCATGTCGCCCATATTGCCTGTTCTGCATTTAGATTACTTGGAATGATTACTCGATTAACTAGAAAGTTTGCGAACTATGCTTGTTTCCTTCGTTTATTTTGTTCTATTATCAGATCGAGACTAGACTTTGGCTCTGTGGTGTGGAATTCACTGACACTACGTGATGCAGCTAAAATAGAGTCAGTTCAGAGACGTTTTGTGCGCATAATCTATGACAAATACCTTGGCCGAATGCATTTTTACAACTATGAACTCCTGCTCGACAAATTTGGCCTACAGTAGAAGAGTGGTAAGTTGGGCGAGTTGGTAAACGTTGAACATGGTTAAAATCGCGTACAAAGAGACGAGGACAAACGAGGAAGGAACACAGAACACAGACAGGCGCGCACTCACAACTCTAGTATATTGAGTGAAGAAGAGAAAGATGAAGCGCTATTTTTTACAGGGGACAACGTCACCAGGGGGAAACAGATCATCCGCAGTCAAATGATCGCAAAAAGGCAACTTCCTTTTCACTTAAAGCAACCGACGGCTGGCTAACGCAGCGATCGCTCAGGCTCAAGATGGTGAACGCCTCGAGCACCTCGCGCGTTTGTTTTTCTTTGAAGCGGCCAATGATTGATGTTTTTTCTAAAGATGGTGTGCACATGCAGGTTTTACAGTGCACCGAAAGGTGACCTCCTACATTAGATGTTAAAGAAAGTTTATGCTCTCGTAGCCGGTCATTCAGACACCGTCCCGTCTGACCAACATAGCATCTTCCACATGAAAGAGGGATATATAAACAACGCCCGATGAACAGGGAACAAATGGCCGCACATGTTTCTTGTGGCACATGTTTTTGGATAATTTTTCCGCCTTTTCACGAACCTTAGAACAAATTTGTCGCATTTTCTTAGGGGCTGATAGTACAACGGGCACACCATACCTGCTGGCCACTTGTTTTAGGTTATGCGAAATTTTGTGCAGGTATGGCATAACCACCACCCGGTTTTTTTCTACGGGGCGCCTAGTTTCCCCCCCCCCCCCCCCCCCCCCCCCCTTTTACATTCTTTACCAGCGTTCCTCACTTCGATTAAGACCTGATTCGGGAACCCTGAAGATTTTAGTCTATCGATCTGGCCCAAGAAACTCCGATGAATGGCATGGAAACATGACTTTTTTAGGGCTGAGGTGAGGCAAGAGATAGCAATGCCTCTCTTCACCACCTTGGAGTGCGAGGATCTAATTACAAAGATAATCAAGCAGTGCTCTCGCCACAACACTCTCTTTAGAGTACTCGCGGTAATGACTCATTAATATGATTGATTGATTCATTGATTAGGGTTTAACGGCGCAAAATTTGCGAAGGCCTTGCAAAGTCGTTTAATTTAATTTACTTCCAATCAGATGGAGCACTATCACGCAAATCATTTGAATGACTCCTCTTTAAAGGGAGTTGGTTAACACCATTCGAAAGGGGTACCGGGACCGGATGTTTGCTTTCTGTTTTGTTTTTATTTTTGCTCGCGGCAAAAATAAACAACGCGTCGCCATAGGCAACCGGCAATGCAGTTTAGCACTGCACGTTGCGCCATCTAGCGGCTGCAAAATGAAGCACTGGGTAGGCCAGGACGGCCCGGGTCGCGGGGACTGCGGGCGGGCGCATTTAGAAACCACGAGTGAATGTGGCATTTCGGATCGGCGTGAACCTTTTTGTGAACCGTTTTTCGTAGAAGTAAGTCACAGCTTCACGTCTCTATGACCTCACCGGGTTCCTGTGACATCTCACCTACTCCTAGAGCTCCCCCCAAAAAATAAACGTCACCACCGCTGCGTGGAATACTGCCACAGTCATGGAGGTGACTCAAGCGTCCCACTTTACCACTTCCATTCGAGATCTTGGGAAGCGAAGTTGTTTGACGAGTTACTTAGACAGCCACATAGGGAAATAAATACTAAATCGGGCCGAATGTTGCTTCGCTGTGACGTCGAGAATCGCCTGCACAGCCGTTCGGCAAGCGCGGACGCAACCAAAACCTTTCAAATCTGCGAGTTCTCAACTAGTAGATTAACGTAGCACATAAAGTTTTGTCTGTTTCGTCAACTAAATTTAACGCCGAATCTGACAAAAAAAAAAAAAAAAAAGTGACGGCGTGCAGAAAACACGATGCAAAAGATTTTTTTTTTATAGAAAGCTCCCATGCGAAGCGTACATATCCGTCCTACTCACATGTAAGCTTCGTTGCTTGTCACCCTTTTACACCAGGCTTGCATATCACATAACAGCCATTGCAATGAGCGTACTGTTCTCTAGCACGCAGAGTTTGGTTCTAATTCCTCACATTTTATTCTAGTGAAGACAACTCAAACTGGTGTCCAAATGACAACTCTAGAACATGCTCTAAACATTTCGACCTATCAATGTTCCCTTTAGTCTTAAAACCGAATAAAGAAGCCGGGGACATGGTGTGCACGTGCACACGGGGACTGCTGAAATTAGAGTCGCCACTGCTTGTGGCGCCGCCTGGCCATTGCCGGCTGGCTATACACTCACTCTCCGTCCAAATGCAGCGCTAGCGGTTAGAGACAGACGACAAAGTTCCAAACTTTATCGTTATCTCATTCAAAAGTTATCAGCGTTCTTTTGTACACTTTCTAAGACAAAATGGCGGCAAACGAAGTCCGCGAACACATGAGGGTGAATGGCGTCTGCCACTGAATGGACAATATTTTGTCACTGAATATTTTTCAAAAGCTGCTTCTAACCTTTGATTTGGGTAACGTAAGTTCTAAAATTTTGGTACCTGGTTCGGACCGCCAGCGGTACATTTGGGTGAGAGCATTAGCGCTCGGCGCGGCGAGATAAACGCGACTTTCGTTTTTTTCTCCCAACCAACCGGTACTCCTTTAGACTGGCGTCAAATAACTCCCCCCGAAGATTCAGGAGTCATATATTTGGAGCAGGTGAGTCATACATGACCCCTATATGACACAGAGGAGGTCAGTTTAACGACCACCTCCTTTTTTTAGAGGGTTTAGGGCGCGGAGCAAGACCGCCTAAGACCGCCCACCAAGTTTTAAACACATACGCACACACGGCCATCGAAAATTCGTGGTCGACCATCTGCGTCTTGTCAGATATTTCTGACGTAGAATGGGCTTTCCTCTAGGCCAGAAACGAATCTATTGTACTTAGATGGGCCAGTTGGTACATTGCAAAGGATATATAAAACGCCGAAAAAACACGGACAGAGACACGAAGGAGCGCTCTCAACTGAAGCTTATTCGAAAAAGTACACGCTATTTATTCGCCAACGGGAACGTTCCTGACGTAGAGGGGGCTTTCCTCTACGTCAAAAAAGAATATCTATTCTTCGCTGTTACATTATGTATGGATTTTATTCTACGATTCCAAGTACACGAATTGTAAGTTGTGGGAGTCACGCAAGCTGTCGTAGCCAACGTCACACACGGTCTTGCGACACACGGACAAGCCTGCTACAACTGCTACGCGGCCGAGCCATTTGGGCATTTGTCCATACTGGCTCGACGGACGCGAAAACAGCAGTTTTTCTTTTTTTAGCGTCGTCGGGTTAGGTTGTCAAAGTTGACGGCGTTGCAAGAACCAGTCAAATACGTGTTCGGATCGTCGAGAGGCACGGGAGGTTTTCATTTTTATTTTATTTATTATTTTTTTGAACGACGCCCCTTCCGTACAATCAACAGGTGTCAGCGTAATATCTCGAAATAATGATAAAAATAATAATAAATCAACAAAAATAAAAGCGTAACAATCGTGATGCTCGCGTAAACTTAACGCTCGAAACGTGAAAATTTCTCGCTTCCATCGACGAGAAACGCGAGCGCCTACGCCTCAGAAGCGAAACATACCGCCAGCTAACGGTATGCGCGCGAAATCAACGATAAAACAAGGAAAATAAAAGAATACGAAAATTAGATATTTGTTCGTAATATTCCTTATAGGTACATCGTTTATTCGGTTCATCTGACAAGCACGTATGTTCTTCCCTTTAATAAACCTTTTAAAAACCATTCATTTGAGGTGTGAACAGATCGAGATCAGCGTGGAAAAAACGTTAGTGCGTCAAGAACTCCAGCGCTACGCGGCGTTGGACCGATCGTGGCTACAGAGGCATCATGACGGATTTAAGTTGCGTCGTGTATGTGTCTAGTTGTAATTGGTGCACGAATTAAGTTTGAAGAGCGTTTTAGCGGCACTGACATATAAAAGAACCGTTATTTTGACACGTTGGCTCGCGGCCAATCAGAGCTTATCAAACATGGCCCGCTCGCGCGAGAACGCATTCTTTTTTACTTTAAACGAAGCGATGTTTTATTTAAAGGACGGTAATTCGCGGTTCTAGTGTACGAATAAAATGTGCAGTCACTCACATTTCAGGGCAGTAACTCCGAATTTGTGTTTTTCTACGGCGTTCACTTCTTAAAGGGTGTCTTCCCTGCAAACTCAAGATTGCCCGGATGCTCCGGTCGAGGCTCAGTAGCCGCAAGACAGTATCCGAAACATAAACCATATACTACTATTAAACTCAAAAAATATAATCTTAAAAATACGTTAAATCTGTTTTAGTTTAATATACGGCATATTATGTAAAGGTTTTACATAAAAACAATCTTTACCACAGGAATTTCTGCAATACCCAAGCACGTCAGATTCCAAACAGCATCGCTTGCAGGGCATGCAACACTGTGCAGCTGAAGTCACGCACGTGTCTTCGGTAGACATTCAAAACACAATGCTGAAGAATACAGACTCGAGCCGCATATTTCAGGGTTATAGGGCTTTAGGATACGTATGTAATCATGTGCCATTCATACTGCGTTATATCCAGCGAAGGAAAGAGCATCTGGTCATCACTTCGATTGGGAGGAGCTTCCACACTTATGGCGTAAGTGGAACACTGCCGGCATACCATGCTCATATTTTACAACAACATTAAAGCGCTGTTTTTTTTTTTTTTTTTACGGTTTGTATGTATATTCTAGCCGTAACACCTTTATGCATAGACACTCGGGATTATACATCGAACACACTAGGTCTCGGACTCTTCTTTCAAGCGTAAAGTGTGAAATCGCGAATGACATCGGTCGTACACCGGAGACGCGAAAGAGCATTGATCACACCACAGTTGCCACAATAGGTTGTCAATTTATGACGCCTAACATCCAGGTGATTATATGCAGACGATGTGACAGTAGTTGTCTCAATCTGTCCGTTCTGCCCTGTTTTAACGTCTTTGTTTTGATGTGCATGTTGGTGCATCACAGCTGACTTTAAACATTTCCTGTAGAAAATAACAAGGCTTGCCCGAATGCTTCTTTTATTGTGCAGGGAACCAAGCTGGATCTGCTTACAGCAAGTGAGCTTTTCTTCTTTTAATACCGTTGTTCACCCTTAAAGTACTGAACCGTACCCACCTCTTTGGTGTCACTTTTGCAACAAATCTCTCCAACGTTGCAGGCAGTGTTCACGAGGATGAGATCACGTGCATCGCCGGAGACGCGAGGCTTGTGTACACCTCTTGCGGAAACACCATCTACTCCTGGCGACGGGGAAGTGAGGTGAGACGCAAAAAGTTTGGTCACACTACATTTGTACCCCATCTCCCACCCCAAAACACTTGAGTACAGAGTGACAACCACTTCTGTTACTAACTCTCACTTGGCTGCGAGCCATGACCACATGGCATGTGACTATCTTTCGCAGGTCCGATGTCACATGACTAGTTTTAACATAAGATACTATGTTATAAGAGAGGGCATCTTATGGAGGTATGCAAGAAGTGATATGAAGCTTTATGAAACGTCATCCACCAAATTTAGTAGATTTCATTGACTCAATACATCTCAAACTGCGGTGGCCATTGCAATGCTGTCATAACCGCAGCAGGCCTTGCGGGTGCCACCTTACCCTTGTTGGCCGGTGTAAACGATCATGTAACCGCAGCAGCAATCAACGGTGTTCTGGTCGGAGGTCAAGTTCGGAGTCTCGGTACACATTGCGCCGAGATTTTTGGACACTAAAACATATTCGCTGTGTGCAGGTATCGACAAAGCACTGCCATAAACTTTTTGACATGCCATTTGTTGCGTTTACAGCTGCAGCGGACGTACGAGAGACACGAAAGCAAGGTGACGCTCCTGCTGCCCTTCGGAAAGCACCTGGTGTCCGTCGACGAGGCGGGCCATGTCATCGTGTGGGAGATCAAGACGGCCGGTACGTAGCCTGGTCGTCGTAGTTTGTAGTCCCATCTTGGTTGTTGGATCTTATCGCTCTGTTATAGCCGCTGAGAGAATGAGAGGGGCAGGGAGGAGTTTTGCTTGTCCAACGAAAGCTTCATACCTTCGATGACTCTTGGGCTTCTCAGGAGCCTCGAGCATGCACTTGCAACCGAAGCATGAAGAGACATTCCGTCGTTCTCATTCTGTTGGTGGCTACGGGCAGCGGCTCTGGAGTTCTGATTCTGAGAGGGGAAGGGATTACGGACCCCTTTAGACGAGGGAGTCTGGACCTCGAGAGTGGTGACGGCAGGAGCCCTTCTTGCAGCATCATTGGTGTTATTAGTCTGGATCAGGGATGGGCAAAATACATGCAAATATGTATCGAAATACAAATACAAATTACTTCATCAAAAATGTATTTAATTACAAATCTAATTACATTTCCAAAAAAGCATTTAAATACAAGATACAAATACAACCAAATGTATTTGGTCTCCTCCAAATACTTTTCCAAATACATTCCTCAAAATTTGCATCAGCCACTTCAGGGCACCTGCAAGAGTTTCTGGGTATCTCATTTTAATATTGCATCGCACACTCGGGAGTTAGTGTGCGAGGCTATAGTAACATAATAGAAATATAATCACAAAAAATGTAATCGGCTTGGACGTAATAGGTGAAAAAAGTACAGAGCTTTAAGCAGCTTTTTTTGTCGATTACATTTTGGTATAGGCCAACAAAGAACCGAGACGACCAAGACGCGCAGCACTAGCTAGAGAATTTTTTATTGTTGCAACTCGTACCAGTTACGAAAATCTGGACGAGTTGCGCATTTAGAATGTTCCAGGCAAAAATATGCATGGAAATCAGGCTGGAAAGTATCACAAGTTGTCACAGGCACTTATTTAGCCAGTCTGCCTGTGAACGTCGATTTCGTCACTATTCTTGCCCTGGACTAGCACGGTCGTAATCACAAAGTCACTAAACGCTTGTGTATGATTGAGAGACACTGCATTCGGTGCAGAGCGTAGTTTTCTTCCTGCTCTGGACGGTGACAATAAATTTGAGGGATGTATTTTAGCCCGAAAAATTGTATTTAATTACAATTGTATTTGAAATACCCACGTTTTAGTATTTAAATACACACGTCAAATACATTACCCAATTGGTAATTAAATACAAATGCAAAATACACAAAGTATTTGAAATACATATTTCAAATACTTGTATTTGAAACACTGCCCATCCCTGGTCTGGATGGACTGCAAAACTCACCTCGTGTAAATGTCTCGACGAAGACGTTCGGATGCTTGCATGTTTAATATCTCAGTAGAGCCGTTAACCGTGGAGATTGTAAACAAAGGTTCAAATAAAAGTTATTTGATGACTGAGGTTTGTGCGACGTATGCCTTGCTGAGACTAACAAATTGATTAAAGGACACATGCAAAGGGAAAAAATTTTTTTTTTAGACAGCTTAGATGGAAAAAGGATGTCATACAACGATTTTACAACGAAGAAAAAAAATTTTTAGAGCTATATTTACGGCGCTATACGAATTTGTAGTTGGCGCTCGCGGGAGCTGCCGCTGGTCACGTGGTTGGCCCGCGCGCCGCCGCGCTGCGTCGCCGCTGCACGCTGAGCGTTGTGCGAACGCCGCTTCAACGCGTTTCTCCACGCTGCCGTCGCTGCCGCCGCACAAGTTCGTCTGCTTCGGGGCGCCGCCGCCGTCGTCTGACCGGCACACAGGTCTACCACGTCTGCTTGCGCTTTTTCAGGAGTTCCTTTTGGGCTCTAAAAGTTACTTATTTTTTTGTTATACTTCCAACAAAGATGAATAAGTTACTTTTAGAGGCCATAGGAAGCTTCCGGAAGAACGCAAGCACCACGTGATAAATAAGGACCAGTCACGTGATAAATATGGACCACTTTTTCGCGGTGCTCGCGGGCGCCAACTATAAATTCGTTTTGCGCCAAAAATATAGCTCTAAACATTTTTTTTCTTCGTTGTAAAATCGTTTTATGGCGTCCTTTTTCCATTTAAGCCGTTTAAAAAAATGTTTTTTTCCTTTGCATGTGTCCTTTAAGTTAGATTGCCTCAGGCTAACTCATGAGGCTCACTTATTGTGTTAGAGTTTAGCATATGCGAAATCAGTTTAGGTTTGCTCAGGCTACAGAAAGTTAGGCTAACCTCACTTAACTGACATGAGGTATAGTTCCATAGTAAACCTAAAACCAGAAACAATAAAGAAAATGTGACCGGTTAGTTTGCCAGGTTGCCGGTTTTGCAGCGACAGCTGCTATGGGCTCCTGTCCCCACTGGAACTAACGTCCGTTGATGGTGGAGTACTACCCATAGTAGCTGTAGTTGTCGTTTAGGTCGTAGATGGCGACGTGGGGCATCTGTTGTCGACGAAGCCAAAACCCTTGTAAAAAATCGCCCGCTGCCCACTGGAATCGATCCCGGCTCCGCCACGTGAAGGCTCGTCATTACTGAGCCACACTGCATCATTAATAACCTGCTCTAAACTTGAGGTTTTTGTAGTACCCAATGCCCATTGCAAGCACTCTCTGAAAAAAGAAAAAATAAGTAACCTATTAAAAATTGCCATCATAGCACTGTCAATGCTAAGAGCTCGTGCCGGGAGACGCGCTTTCACGCGCTCCGCATAAAGAAACAAACGAAAGTGTTCGGAACAAAATAAAAAACAGCGTCTCCGTTTCGATCTGAACGCTTTTGTTTGTGCACCCTGGGGTGCGTGAACACGACACCGATGCCCAACGACTTCGCCGTGACGTGTCGCAACTATCACTGTGACTGTACTGTGGCTTAACGCGGGACTGCTTGATTTTAGAGCGCAGCTCTTAGGCGCCCGTTTCCGGCTTGAGCGGCGTCGGCGTCGCCGTCTGCATCAGCGTAACCGCGCGGTGCATTATGGGAAATGTCCCATAATGCACCGCTTGAGCCCTCCCCCCCTGTGTCACGTGACCTCGGGGGGGGGGGGGGGGGGGGGGGCACGTGACCCCCCGAGGTCATATGACCCCCCCCCCCCCCTCCCCAAAGTCACGTGACTCCCCTGAAGTCACGTGACCCCCCCCGCCGAGGTCGCGTGATTCCCCGATGACGCCATCGTCACTGATGACGTCACCGGCATCCGCATCGTCACCATCACTGATGACGTCACTGGCATCCGCTTCGTCATCGTCATCATCACTGATGACATCATCAGTGGCGTCACTAATGACGTCACCGACATCCACATCGTTATCATCACTGATGACGTCATCATGATGTCACTGATGTCGTCACTGGCATCTGCATTGTTATCATCAGTGATGACGTCACCGACATCCGCATCGTCATCGTCATCATCACTGATGACGTCATCAGTGACGTCACTAATGACGTCATTGGTATCCGCATCGTCATCGTCACTCATCGGCATTGTCATCGTCACGTGACCCCCCCCCCCCCCCTCCCCCGGTCAGTTGACCCCCCCCCAGTACTCTTCCGTCCTCCTCCTCAAGAGCTGTGCTCTAATTCGGCGTTACAGGGAGTTGTAAACGGCTTCCACTCTTTTTTTTTACCCCTTTATCGGGTTAAATTTGATCAACTTTGGTTTTGCAAGCTTAGTGTAGCTATAGTTGGCAAGAACGGCCGGGGGGATCTTGATTGGCCCCACCGCCAGCGCAGGCTTCCTACCTTCTCTGTACTTTCAGCCGTACTTTTGCCCTCACCCGCAGTACGTCTGAAGGCACAGAGCGCACGCCGGTGACGTCCCGCCGTTCTGACTCCGTCAGGAAAGGGTCGCTCCACCATTCTCGCTGTGTCAGTGGCCACAGGCCATACGACCTTGGCTCATGTGAACTTGTGTTGCCTTTGGTCACGGAGGGTTCGGCCGAGCTTACGAAGTAAAATTGTGTTCTCGCACGAAACGAGACGATCGGACGTGATGACGTGCCTCGCCGTCGACTCTCCGCAGAGGTCTACCTGGAGCTATCGCTGGAGGCGTCGACCTTCGGGGCGAGCGCGTTGCTTCATCCGGTGACGTACGTGAACAAGCTGCTGCTGGGCAGCCACCAGGGGACGCTGCAGCTGTGGAACATACGCAGTGGCACTCTGGTGCACTCTTTCGAAGGCTGGGGCAGCGGCGTCACCGCCCTCGAGCAGGCAAGTCGAGTGCCTCATCCTTTCATGGGAATTAAGGACACCAACTCCCGACAGCTCCCCGTACCGCCACCCGTCGCATAAGTACGAGCTGCAGTTTAATTTTACTTTAGAAGTAGGCTGCAGAGAAGCAAATGAGATGTTTGTGTTTAGAATGCATGAGGTCAGACTACCTTTGAGGTATGGTGGTGCTGGTTTACACCGTGGACGAGAAATGTAGCCAGTGCAGAACGACCACTAGCGTGGGGTCTTTGGCGTGCACCACGCATTAGTGTTACATCACCACATGCCGGTACGATGCTCATCTAGATTGGAACAGGCAGGGGCTGGAATCAAATTCAGAGATCATAAGTTCTGCAGGGCGAGCTTTCACTGCATATGCTTTAAGCTGCAGTGCGTTAAGGCACTCGGTCACCGAGGAAGTTTTAGGAAAAGGCAAAGATGCAATGCAAACGCTTTTTATGGCATGAGCGCATTGTAAGCGTTAAAACTTAATTAAAATAAAAAAAAAAAAAAATTGAAGGACAACACAAGAACATTATTCTCTTTCAGTTTAAAAGGCAGACTCGGTTTCTTAAGATTGAAAAGTTTGAAGGCTCCAGGTTTTGGGGAGTCGAAATCATGAGCATTTGAAATCTTGTAACCGGCGCAACTTTGTGACGTCTCAACTGGAGAACGGTTTCAACATTGTTTTGCAGTCTCCAGCAGTGGACGTGGTGGCGATAGGGTTGGCGAACGGCCAAGTGATGGTGCACAACCTCAAGTTCGACGAAACCCTGATGACGTTCCAGCAAGACTGGGGGCCTGTCACCGCCATTTCTTTTCGCACGGGTAAGCGACGATCCGGGAACAAAGATTTGGTCATTATAGCAGTGGCGGTGCAATAAGACAAGGGAAGAAAAAAGTGGGAGACACACAGAAGTACAAACAAGGGTTCTGTGTGTGTGTGTGTGTGTCTCCTTTTTTTTCCCTTGTCTTTTTGCACTGTTGCTGCTACTTTAGATTACCAACTTGCCCAAACTTCCATCTTAACAAACTTTGGCTTAAACCTTTGTTACTGGTTCATTGTAAGTGTCTGTCGATGACTTAACTACAGGCGGCAGTGCTTCATTTATGCAGTCACTAGGACAAGGAAAATGCTCTTTGCTAGAAGCCCAATGCTCTCTAAAAGGCCACCGTGAAATGTATGAAGTAGCTTTCTTGCTTCCGTGAAACAGTGCACAAGATTTACACACAGAATAGTACCCAAGCATGAACGACCAACTTGCCCAAGCCTCCGTCCCCTCGTCTTTCTTGACGTGGAATCAGGCTTCCAGGAGTGCGTTAGCATAAATTCCCTCCCTTCCAAAGTCACATTTTCTATCTTTGTGCCTGTGAACATTTTCTCTTTTTATTCACTGTGCCATTGACAACTTACAGAAGTTTAGGACAAAACACAAGTACATAGTCACATGGTTTCGTTTTGCAGTGATACATTGAATTGTTTTCTAGTTTTGATTTTCATTGGTGTGGTGCCTTACTTTCTGTATTTTGTAAAAGAAAGCCCCTGAAAACTTTCTAAGCCTGTCCCTTCCACTTTTGGTTCTTCTAGTTCTCCACCCAGTTTCAGGCGGTTTAAGAAAATGGCAAAAGCTCAGATGCAATATCTTAAACTGTGAGAGTGGCGCCGGTAAAAAGTGTTGCTCCATTTTTAGTAGTATTACTTTTAGGAGGTTTAAACATTTACATTTTGTATGTCAAAGAGTGGTAGACTGTTGACGCTCAAAATGCTAAATAGGGGGGGGGGCAAGCTGCCACCCGATTAAAGGGTAACCCCCATCAATTCCAAAATTCCGGTATTACTGGCGATTATCATTTCAAGACTACTAATAAACAGTTCTATGTCATTCGTTTTCCGAAAAATTAAATAGTTCTTTTGCAAACCTCGTTTAAACGAAAATCACAATGCGAAACCAAAACCTTGCCCGCAGCAGGCAACATTGGTCCTGCTCGTCAACTACTGGACATCACGTGGTACGGAGACGTCGGCTATGTCATAGACTGCGCTGCTCCGCGTGTCGCCCGCTAGATTGGGTGGATTTTGTTGATCGTGGAGCCGCTCCAACTTCCTTGGTCGGTTTAATGAGCTTTTTGGTGGAATTGCATCGTAATATGTTACATGTGGGCTTTTTGGATGATACGACGTAGGACTGCATTGTTTTTTCAACATCGAAATTTGACTCGAGTTGCCCTTTAAGTGTGTCCAGCCAACCGCACCTTTCCGTCCACCTTTGTGTACTATGCTCTGTCATTTTGGGCATCCCAGACGCATGGAAATATGGTGAATTCATACTCCTTACGATGGAGCGCACGAATCCTATTCATTTCCCGTGCTGCCATTAAGTAAGACTTTCATTTGTAACCCTACAACGAGTGAAACAGGTCCACATGTGCCGTGCATCATGTCTGCGCACACATTTTCTCTGTTTTAAATCCCGTTTTCGTCTGAGGCGCGAGACTTAAGGCCAGCTCACGCAGTCGCGACCGTTTACGACCGCATGCCTTGAAACCTCCGAAAATCTCTTACGACGAGACAAGTTGCCGGCTCTACCCGTCAGGCAGCCATGGAACAATAAACAATTCCACACATTTCCCTTTTTTTCCGCACCATTCTTTTGTTTTTGACCTGGAAAAACTTCTGACACTGTTACGAACGACCGTTTCTCACTGAGAGTGCATAGATTTCATCCTGCAAATACCGTCAAACCTTCGCTCTAGTGAAGTGCAGTTCCAAGGTCACCTCATAGATGGTGCCAGTATGCCAGTGTGTTCTCTAGAGAGCTTCCATTGTAAAGAGGGCCCACCTCAAACCATGGGGAGCGCTTGTAATTTAATGGCGGACACCTCCCGCGGCGATCGGTCGCAAGTGTGCATGCGCTGCGCTTTCGCATTGTGAGGAGGGAAGCAGGCGGAAAGGCAAAGACGTTTGCAGACGATCAACGCTTTCATCAGCTCCTTGCAGCTCGTCTTACAAATGCGGCCCATAAACCACCGTGACCCTGATCCAGCAGTTGGAAACTCTTTGTAATACAGGCTCTCTAGCATTCTTTGTCATAAGATATCTTAAGAACACAGTCCTAAGCAAGTGTAAGTTTGCGAACGAATCTTTACATGAGGCTCAAGTGGAGTGATGTTTCGGCCGGTGTCCCTCGCAGATGGTCACTCCCAGATGGCGACGGGCAGCCCCCTGGGCCACGTGGCGGTCTGGGACCTGGAGAAGCGGCGCCTGGACAGCCAGCTGCTGCACGCTCACCAGACTGGCGTCACGGGGCTCCGGTTCCTCCCGGACGAGCCCCTCCTCCTCACTTCCTCCCCGGACAACTCGCTGAGGGTGAGCCTCGGGAAGCTCCTCCATGTGGCGAGGGGGATTTTCAGTTGGGTTGAAAATCCTCCTTGCTGCACATTCTCAGCCTCCTCGTACTGGTCAGACTACGGCGAGGCGTGCCGGCACGCCGTCTTACCGACGAAGGTGCACCGCGATGCCTGTTAGGCGGGCCTGCAAACTATTTTTCTGTCGGCCTGAAAATCTTCCTTGCAACAAACTCTCCTCTACCCTCTCCCGCTGGTCACGTGACCGCCTATTGGGAGGGTTGGTCTGCTATAGGTTGTTCGGAGCATATCGTGTCGACGTCTTTCGCCGTCGGGAGTGGAGGGCAAAAGGTGGTAAGGAGAGAGGAGGAAGGAGGAAACCTCGGGGGGGAAAAGTGAGGTCAGACTTTGTTCCAAGACCGGCGGGGTTAGAGAGTCGGTTTCTCGACGCGTCAATCGTCGGTAATTTAGCCCAGAGATGTGGAGCTCTTGTTCTCTAAGCTCGTTGTAAATGGTTTTGACTGAGTTGACTTGTGCTTCCGTCGCGGCAGATGTGGATCTTTGACCAGTCGGACGGCGGCGGTCGTCTGCTCAAGCAGCAGCAGGGACACAGTGGCGCCCCCTGTCGGATCAGGTTCCACGGTGCTTCGGGGAACAACATATTGAGCGCAGGCAAGTCCTTCCGGCTCATACAGTGTGTGTTTGTGTTGTGAAAGGCAGCACATTTCGCATCGCGAATGTGTTTGTCCAATTTGCAAATCCTAAAGGTGTGTAGTATAGTTGACGAGGTAAAAATGGTGGGCATCTCTTTCGGATGCCTGGCCTCCGGAACAAGCTCGTTGCCTTCTGTCATGCTTCGGCCGCTCCAGGGTCTTTCAGTACGCCATTGGTCACGAAACTTCGGCCAAAGTTTGGTACAGGATCAGAAACTGCCGTTCGGAGGCGCCCCCGTTCCAGAGGTGGCATCTTCGTTTGGTCACGCCACTCTCGCTGAGTGGCGTGACCCCAAGTTCCAAATTCCAAGCCTTGGTCATTCCTTAATGATATCTAACAACAGAACTTAAAAAAAGTTTTTTTTCGTTTGTCTTCAAACAAATGGTGTTCTTTCGAGCGAGAAAAAGTCAGGCCATGGAGCATAGAGGTTCGCAGCGCCTCTGCTCGGTGGCGCTACTCGTGGCACTGAATTTTGACAGCGATGGCGGTATCGAGAATTCATTTTGAGGCAAGAAGAGGAATGAAGAGTAATACTATTTTGGACAACGTTGCAGAAAAGAAAGATTGACAAAATGACTAAGCTTACAAAGCAGAAGACGCTTACATTAAAGGGCAACTCCACTCAAAAAGTCGACCCTATCGAAATGACTGATATCGCTTTAGAAGGTCAAAATACGGTCATACCCAAAATATCACGTCAAACCGACGCCGCGTTACCGATTAATACCAATATTAGAAATGTTCTCCCGGCTCGGTTAGCGGCCCGAAAGCGGGTGAGCAACGCTGGCACCGGGTGAGCTAGTGAAGCAACACTGGGCAATGACGTAGGTCTAGTCCTACGCTCTCGTACGGACGCCGCGAACGCTTCGTTTCCCGTGGCATTCTGCGATTCTGCTGACGGCACGAGGTGTTTACGACATTATCCTGTGTTCTCCTATTTTTATTAGCTTCCAGGCAGTTGCTTTAATTCCAGCATTGCTTCCGCGACAGCGCGGAAGAGAGCAAAGCGGTGCTGCTCGCTCACGCGCGCGTCGTGGAGCCGGAGAGATTTGCCGGTCTCGCGTTGGGCAATGTCGAGCAGGATTTATAGTGCTGTGGGTTGCACCAACAACCGGGTGCGCAACCCGAAGCTGCGGTTCCACCAGTTCCCAAGAGACCGGAAGAGGCACAAGGTGTGGGTCGGTGCCGTTCGCCGGATAGACTTCGGAAGACCGTTGACTCCGAGGTCCAACGCGAAGCTCTGCTCCCAGCACTTTACGTCAGACACCTACACACGGGATCTGCGGCTGCTGACTGTTGCGGGTTTCACCACGAAACAGGCGTCTTTGAAGAACGATGCGGTGCCGTCGCTGTTCGCGTACCGTCTGGCGGCTGCTCCAGCACGATCGGCCGGACGCAGCAGGTCGCGGCTGATCTAACTAGCGTGCACATAATGGCACCTTGGCTTTAACAACTTAGACCACTTGTGGATAGATCTGTCCATCTATCTCCCATTATTTCGCTTTCTCGGTCCGCGCGCAAGAAACAAATACAGTCACGCTGCGTCGGCACCGACCGCGTCATATTTATAGCAGTCGGATTCGCTTTTCGGCCGGCAAATTTATAAATACTCACTAAAACTTACTACATTTGATGCATATCAACAAAGTGAAGCGGTAAAAAAAGAAAATGTGCATCTAACCTTCTGTTTTGAAAGTCCACGTGCGACTGAGCCGACCTTGTCGGCGCGTCGGCTCAGAAGCGCGGGACTAGAACTAGGTCATGCCGACGACGCGCCACTAGTATCAGTGTTGCCAAGCTGCTTCAACCGGTAGTTTCGGTTTCGCCGTGCCACCGGACCGATTCTTGCATTCGCGATATCTACAAAACTATACACACTACCGAAAAACAAATTATATCTCGTGATTCAGGGTCGCCGGCTTCGACTAAACAGATCATAACCCAAAAATTGTAAAAATGTAGTGGAGTTGCCCTTTAACAAGAAACGCTGTAAATGCGATGACACGTCACCGCGGTTCATTGGCGGCTCAGTCAGAAATTTCGACACCACGTTGTTGCCAGACTCCCGGCAGTGCTGGCTAGATTGGCGGTCCTTAGTCCCCTTGTCGTCCGTGGTCGCATACCAAGCTCTCCCACGGCGTTACAGAGAAGTTTCGTGACCAGGAGCGCGTCGAAGGACTCTGGCTGCGCATGCATGCTTGTAACTCACGAGACGTCGAAGTATAACTGACAAAGGGAGCCCATGCTGGAGGCAGGACAGCTGAAGCCCCTTCCTGCCATTCTCACCCTGTCAGTGACCACAGTGACAAACTGTATGGGAATTGTGAACCTGGGTATGGGGACCGTGAATCCCCAAGTCCCCAGCTGCAATGGAACAGTGACCCGATCGGCCTTGTACACTGCCCTTGGCCTAATTAGAGAAAAACAAAAATAGTAGTGCTTCTTACTGGTAGCCTCTTACAAAGGTTAGGGCCTGCATCCATGGTTGGATACAACGTAAGAAAAACAGCGCGAGGGGTGAAAGGGCGCGCACAAGAAAAGCTGTTCGGGAAAAGAGGTCGCTCCTCTCCACTTCAGCTTTCCTAGTGTCCGCCCTTTTCCTCGTCACACCCTCTTTCTTATGCTGTATCTGACATATAGTGCAGGCATTAACCTAGCCTGTAGGCCGAGCGTGTGAGCGATAATGAAGGGGGCCAGGTTTACCGAAGTTCGGACCGGGCAGGCTTCGGCGCATGGCGGATGTTCGGAGGAAAATTACCTTTTCTTGGCGTCTTTTACCAGTTCTGCGGTCTTGATACATATCGTTAACGTTACCGATCTGCTGCACCACAATACCTACTGGCTTAGGCCAGTAGGCATTGTTTTGGTCTATGTATCAGCTTCTTTTTCTCATATCCCACCACAGTGATACTACATGTGCATTGTTTTCTCGAGGCGCAAAATAAATAATGAATTTCTCATTATTATTATTATTATTACTACTGCAATGAGATGTAATAGTGACAAAAATTGTAGCACAGCATCTTATTCGATCATTGGTCCACTCATGCTAACAAGCTGCCTACGCGTCATCTGACGCATTTGGTGTAAATGAGGTCGGCAGACGAAACGCGGAGGTGGCACAGAAAACCTAGCCAAAAGCAGTGCCATTCGTATCATCCTTTCGCACCTTTCTCTAGCATGCGTCTTTGAAGCTTTCGCTCCACCGGCGCCGCAAACTTTACGTGATGTCTTGTGGCAGTCTTTCGTGGTTTTGTGACTGTGTTTCCGTGGGTAGGGCTGGACAGCACCCTGCGCTGCTTCTCGACGATCGGCGACCACCTGAACAAGAGCCTGGGCCAGGCTTCGTTTGACCGCAAGAAGGCCAAGAAACACGGGGTGCTCAGGGACCCCGGAAAGATGCCCCCTGTCACGGAGTTCACCTCAGGTGAGTCCGGCCCCGAGTCAATGCGCGGACGGGAAAGGAAACCCACTGTACTGCCTCCTTCAACTGCAACCGTAACACGGTCGCTGGCAGAAAGGCTAACAGAAGAGCAGACATGGCTAGGAAGGTTGCTATTATAAAGAAAGGAGAGAAGTGGACCTACCGTAAAATTCCGAGTTAATGCCCACTCAAAATGTGGAGATGATCGTGTAAAACTGTGGGATCAGCGCTTCTTAAGTCAACATCATGTAAAGATATTCTCTTTGTGTATTTTCTGAATGTTGCAAAATTGAGGGGTGGATACTCATTGTAGGGTGGGCAAATGCTCGGTATTTTGCGGTAGTACTGAACCTTGTGGGACATTGGAGTTAATTTGTGAGGATGGCTGAACCTTGCACAGAACTGAAAATCTGCTCCATCACCTCCTCTGACCGCAACCGCAACTAATAAAAAAAAAATGAAGAATAGAGATTTTTTTTTTTTTTTTTTTTTTATGGGCTGTTTGTGTGCTGTTTAAGGTGCAATGTGTATTTTTTTCCTGTGTGTGTTTATTTTTAAAAATCTAATAACTACAAAGTAGTATCTTCGCTGATTGTCAGGCCCCGTGCACAAGCCTCTTCATAGTTTTGCGGGCCTGTACATAATCATGTATTTTTCTACTACGCAATAATATTTATTATTATTACTGTAAAATACCGGGGGTGCGCCCACTTCACTTTCGCTGAAAAACTGTGGTAATCTAGACATGGGTACTTGTCCGATCAAATCGGGCTCGAAACATGTAATTTTAAAAATTCCCAAGTTTGGGAAATATTAATAGTGGACACTTGAACAAAGTGAGTGCTTGTGCAGTATTTTACAGTATTATTATTTATTAGAAGGGGGAAAGTCTATCTTTATCAGTTCCGCATATCATGTTTTCCCAGATCCGTATTCATATCTGATACGACATGTTTATCTTCAATCATTTTGACGTAGCAGTTTCTACTACTCGCGACACATTTCTTTAATCTACATACTTTGCGTGCCTTTGTGTATATACATTTAGGCCAGGTTACACGTGCCGCCAATTATGCACCCTCCCGCAGTCCTACGAGCTGTTTGAGGCACTGGAAAGTTTAAATAATTAAATGAGAAAATGGATGGGAGGGGGACATGTTTGACGAAACTGGAGAGGACGATTATAATTATACGGCGAGCAATTGTTCCAAGACGCGTCTCTGGCGCATCGGAATGCTAGGAGCTGCACGCAAATCGAAGGGCAACGTAGAGAAGGTTCAGGGAATGCACGACGATGAAGCAGCCAAGCGCGCACCGTCATTAATTGAGGTCAGGAGGAAGTAAAAGCATGTGGGTGCATTTGGGATATAAACAGATGCACGAGGTGCGCAGGAAGCAAACAAACTTGCATGCCGTGTAGTACATTGAAAACGGTGTTGAGGAGTTTCAGTGGTCCTGCCACCAGCACGAGCTTTGTACCTTCTACAACGCTTTGACGTCCATTGCGCCTTGAGCATGCACAGTCAATGAAAGCATGGTGGAAGGCATGGAGCATGCACAAAGAATAAAAGTATGGTCGAAGGCATGGAGCACGTGCTGGAGGCCGTGCGTTTGAAAGACACGCCCTGCCGTTCTTGCTCTATCGGCGTCTTCGGATGACTTTTTTCTGCCTGTTGGGACGGGACTAAAGCTTGCGGAGTTTCTGCCTTGCAGAGACCACGCGGGAGAAAGAATGGGACAGCGTGGCCGCATGCCACAGGGGTCTGGCGGCCGTTACAACGTGGTCGTACGACCGCTGTTGCATGGGGAGCCATCGTCTGATGCACGACCGCTTCAAGGGCACAAAGGGCGTCGTGGCACTGGTGAGTTTGCTGTTCCTTTTTAATGCGTTAGCATTGGAATTGCTTGTTTTGACGAAAACCCTGGCGGTGTCTGTCAGTTTGTCAGTGCCGGGGAGAGAGGGAGGAGCGTGACGGGTGCGGCACTCCTATTGGTCCGAAGTGCTGACATCACACGCGTCACACTCTCTCTCTCCCAGGCGCTGACAGAGTGACAGACACCGCTGGGTTTTCGTCAAAGCGAGTGTTTTTGTTTTCGTCAAAGGAACGTTGCGCTGCTGGTGTGGAGCCAAAGAGGAGGAAGTGCCGCGGTGCGGTGGAATGCTGGCATGCCCAGTTGCCGCTCTGTGTTGTAGCAGTGCATGTGCTGTGATGTGTGTGTGTAGTTAGGTAAAACAATAGATCCGGTTCCCTCCACGAGTGATAGGAATGTGGTGATAAACGAATGGAAAGGGGTTAAAAGGGAGTGAGGAAGAACTAATGTAGCACATATCCATTTAATGAAACTCATTGATTGCCAACTGATTTTTTTTGTGTTATCCTGCTGCAAGAATAAAAGTCTCATTTTCTCTGCCACACACCGCCTGGCTGCGAGATGCCAGTTTGTGCAGAGAAAAATTGGTGCTGCGACGACGCTTTGGCGTGGCGAGATATATAAGCTAGAACGAGCGCATATGGACACCTTTACCTTCGTGATATGGGGCAGTGCCACATCTGAAAAGTACTGCCCCGCATTGCAACGCTTCTTCCCCAACATTAATGCGGATAGTTTAGGACGTTGCAGTTTGTACAGCTTTTTGCTTGGCATCTTTGCTAGCCTCGATGGCTGAACTGGTGGGAACAATTCTTTGCCTGTGTGCCGTTTCGTACAATTGTTTCCAAACCTCTACAGCATTTTTTTTTTTTTTTTCAGGCAACAATTTATGCATAGTTAGTTAGATTGCGGTCAACGTATTGCAATTCAGCATCGTGCTTGAAATAATCGCGGCACCTCACTCGGCTGACAACAGCAGTTTGCTGCGAGTGCATGAAATCTTCTTAGCATTTTCCCGCAATAGGTTATCGTGCTTGGGACCCCTTCATTGTTTGTTGTCTGTATCCGTGGAGGGTATTGAGAGCGATCGAGGCACAAATTCATTGTTTTAATAGCAAAATGCCATAATTTGGCTTTCATTTTCAATCTCTTCCCAGTGTGTGTCTCTGAGTTCGTGCGGCAATTTCGTCACCGTGGGCTGCAGCACCGGTCACGTAGACCGATTCAACATCCAGTCGGGCATCCACCGGATGACCTACGGCAAGGACACCGGTGAGATTCAGCGAGGAGCCTCTTCTTTATTTATAACTGTGTCTCCACAGCCTTTCAGCGTCGGGTTCACAGTGTCACTGCCGAAACTAGTTGCCAACCGAGATACACCGTAAAATACCAAGCAAGCACCCACTAATATACTTTTGAGATAATCGTGAAAAAATGGGGGATGGGTGTTTGTCCGGTCATCAGTTTTTCACATAAATGTGCTGTGCGTATTGTCTCAGATCTTTCAGATTTTGGAATGGGCACTTAGTGTGATAGGGGGGGGGGGGGGGGGGGGGCGGGGCGGATGCATGGTGTCCTATGGTTATATGGCAGAAATGCGCCCATAACAACGAAGAGCCAAGACTGATGCACACTTTTTTTCTGCATTCCACAGTTTCAGGTTTTTGTCATAACAAATAGTTGCCAGCTGACTTGTTTTTGCTGTATCATTAAAATAAAAATACTTCACATTTTTTTTCATTTTTGTCTGAATAACTCAATCAAATCTTAGTTTCAAGAGCAACTGCTAAAACAAGTAAATGCAAAAAAAAAAAAAAAAAGAAATAGAGAGGGCATTGTTACTGCTACCGTTTTGGGAGTGACTGTTTGCCTTTACCATCTCGACGAGCACATCTGCTGCAAGCGAGACGGCTGGAAGGCACACGGGAGAAGCCATCTGCAACTCGAGGGGACGTGACGTCGTCAAACATGATTTCTGCCTCGCATTCTGATTGGCCTGCGTCGAGCGTAAACTTTTTTCAGGGAGAGAAGGTCGGTTGTAGACCGTCCCGCGTTCCACCGAACAGGTCTGAAAATTGATGCAAACTTCGTCAGCCGGCGTCGAAAAGACACCAGGATATCCAGAGGCATTTTGGATATTTCCTGAAACTTTCGACGCCTAGCTTCAGAACTTGCGCCAATTTCCCTATGAATCCGCAACCGTCGGCGAGCCAGTGTTCGAGTTCAATGCGGAGAGCAAGTCGTCTGCTTCCTGCGCGGGGGTTGTGGTGACGTCAAAACAACACCGAACTCTGATTGCTTTTGATTGAATGGATAGTGGGTAGATTTCAATGCCTTGAGGTCTACCTACTGTTTCTTTCAATCAGCTAATTAGAGCTTGGCACTCTGACATCGTCGCAACCCGCGTGCACGAGGCAGAGGAACTTGCGCACATGACGAGCTCGTGACCCCACTCCCTCTTGTTTCAGCGCACGATGGTCCGGTGCGAGGGGTGGTCTCGGATGCCCTAAACCAGCTGGTGGCGACGGGCGGCGCGGACTCGCATCTCTGCTTCTGGGGCTTCAGGGACGGTCGCCCGCTGAGCAGGCTTTCCCTTGACTCGCCCGTGGCCAAGATGAACCTTCATCGGGAGAGGTGAGCATTCAGACACTTCGGTTGCGTGTAGCAGTTGTGGAAGGCTTGGGGATGCCTTAGTGACTGGCAGGACGAGAACAGCAGAGAGAAGTTTCGGTCGTCCTGCCTCCAGCGTGAGATTCCCACCTTCGATAGCGTTTCGGCATCCCATGTGCCTCAAGCGTACGTGTATGGCCTGAACACGGCGAAAAGCAGCGAGCATGCGCATGTATGCCGGACAGCTGGGAGAGAGGCCCCGCCATTCTTGTCTTGTCAGTGACCATGAGCCCTGCATTTTACTGCTTTTAGGGGCGAAGCTGCTTAGGGTCTAGCCTTGTCCGTCCGTCCGTCCGGCGTCCGTGCTCACATAAAAAGAAAAAAATGTTTGCGCTGTTGACAGGATTCGAACCTGTGCGGGGATACTGGGTTTCTAGTCCATCGCCTTAACCACTCGGCCACGACTGCGGGACGAGTAGGGGGCTCTGAGATGTGGTAGTAACTCGAGAGCTGGGGATGTCATGGATGAAACATTGCATGTAGCCGCTCAACGTCTGTACAGGAGATGGCGCTGCGGTGAAGTGCGTATACAATCATGTTAAACTTTGCATGTAGCCGCTCAACGTCTGTACAGGAGACGGCGCTGCGGTGAAGTGCGTATGTAATCATGTTAAACTTTGCATGCATTGGCTTAATGTTTATAGACGAGAGGGCGCTGCGGTCAAATGCTCAAATGCGTATATAACCACGTTCGATACCATACATTCTCTTTCTGACATGGACCGTTGACTTAAGCGGTGGAGATGCATTCCCACGGCTTCTAGGGGATCCAAGCTGATTCGCTAGAAGAACCACTGGCTCTGCACTTGACTGACCATAAAGCAGTAATAATGAAGTCGAAATGCAACCCGGAACTCAGCACTACCTATGAGCAATAAAAAAAAAATCAGCACCATCTGCACTACCTATGAACAATAAAATCAGTATCATCAGCACCACCAGAGCTTCACCCCAATCAACATCATCCACCACGTGGAGATGCGGTCATTTTTTCTAATATTCACTCTTTGTGAACTCTAATCACTTGAAGGCTACATTCGGAAAAATGGTGCTCATCTTTCTTGTCGTCTGATAACGCCATGGCAGTCGTTCCCATTTCTGCGTTGTTCGACGTTTGCTTGCGTCCCGATGGCTCGCGGGCACCGCCATTTTGTTGCCGGAACTGCGCGGGCATCGATGGCGACAGCTTTGTCCCGAAGGGTAGCTTTTCTGGTTTCAGATGCGGTGTTTAGAAACCCTATCAATGCCATTTTGTGCTGTTACAAACTGCTGCTTCACCAATTGGTTGCTTGGTCTACCCAGTACCCTCCAGTTCCGCTCGTTTAATTTTGCGTAAAGTTTGTAATCGCGTGCCGAGGGCTTCACGCTTGTGGGACGTGCGTCGACTTTACCGTTTTGCACCGGCACTTTGAGCTTCACCTCTGCACCGGCGTGCTAAAAGCAGCAGCTGATGCGGGGGAGAATTTGTGTTACCCCGATGGGCTTGGATATTTTGCTCAATCTTATGGGTCGACTATTCTTTTGCTAGATTAGGGACGAACCATTAATTTTAACAAACAGTTATAAATACAAGTCCTGCCGATCTTTAAACAAATACGGTACTTATCCGGAGCCGTGAAAGTTCATATGAAGCAGATTGCCGTGCAAGAGTTGCTTCTTCATCCGTACGCTCCTAAAAGCGTTCTCCTTTCTTACGCTTTCCGGATCATTCCTTGTCTTTACCGCAATCCCCTTTAAAATATATCAGGGGGGCTCTACTATAATTGCATCGATCAAAGTGAAAACTTTGTTTGTTTAAATTCGTTTATAACGCTGAGCCCACACTTCGTTTTTCCGTACGCAGTGGCATGCTGGCAGTTGCCACAGACGACTTTGCGGTGTGCGTCGTCGATGTGGAACTTCGGAGGGTGGTTCGCGCTTTCGCCAGCTACTTCAGTTCTGTCACCGACATGGTGAGCCATTCTCCTTTTCAGCGTTGCATGTGTCTTCAGTGTCTCATACCACCCATGCACAGAAAGTGGTCCCAAAGCAACCACAAACGATGTCGCGACAGCTGGCCCGTCACGCTGTCAGACGCTGCGATCGTGCGGTTAGTCATAGAAGTTCTCCAAAAAACGTTCAGCCTTTCCACTCTCGTGAAGAAGGAAGACCAGTGGAGCTGTACACTTCATACACTGCCGCAAGGCGCACGCTCCCGTTTCCTGTTTCTTCGTGTCCGACACGCCGCCGATCGTGGATACGTCTCCGGCGAACCAAAGTCGGTCACACACGGCGCAAGTGATGCCAAACGGGTAATCCACGAACTCCCTCCGGAACCTTGCCGTCGCGCCCGGGAACTGTTCAGCCGGCGTGGAGTGCAGTCGTCGCCAAGCCTCGCGCTTGCGCCTGGCCTCCGTGGCACGATCGTCATCCGTGGCGTCGGCCCGCCGGCGCCCTTTCTGTTCTCGGCGGAGGCTTTCCAGGCGAGCGATATGCTTTTTGGCAAGGGAATCTGAAACGCTCGACGCAGTGGAAGTCGAGGCAACAGCGGCTTTGCGGCGGTTGCGGACCCATTCGCGCTGCTGCGTATGTCGGCGCTCCTTCCGCAGCCAGTCTTCTTTCCCCGAAAGGGCACGCGGCCGACCCATCCTAAGCCCAAGCCGAAACTGGTAAGAGCATAGCAAACCACGTGCAAAACAGACGAGGACGAAGAAACACACGTGACGGGCGCTGCGCTCGTTACATGTGCTTCTGCTTTTTCGTCGTCTGTTTTTCGTGCTGTTTCCTACGATGAATTCCCACCAACGCGCCCAACTATCCATTCTTCTATAATAGCTGGAAAGGTTGCCGCCATCTACGAGCGACGGCGGATATCAAACTGGTTGTGTGCTTGCCGCTGTCGCTTATAGATGGCGGTAGCTGTCCTCGTGGGTCTTTGTCGACAGGCGTTTGATAGCGGACACGATCCTCGGGAACCTAGCCCATAACAGCTCCGCTGTAAAAGTAAGACAGAATGTGAGTGTCGCTGTCGTCGTGCCGTCCCAACTCCCGAAGTTTTTATGTACTCTCAAGTTTAAGGGCAACCTGTGGCAAGCGGGTGTCTGCTGCACGCACTTCCGCCGCCATGCTGCCACCAAGGTCGCGGCGGGCGGCAGGTCAGCACGAACGTGATGTCGTCGGGCGGAATTCGGGGGACCACGAGCGAGGATGTGGCGAGCGCACGAGTTGGGATGCAATCTGGGGATTGCAATAATATGTCAATGCATTGTTTCTTCATTGTTTTCTTTCACTTGCAGACGTTCAGTCCAGATGCCCGGTGGCTGGTGACGTCGTCGATGGATGCCCTGGTCCGAACATGGGACCTGCCGTCAGGCTGGTGTGCCCCCTCTTCCAAATCGACCTCGTCTTTTTAATGCGGAACGCGCGTGATGGCTGGGATTGCCGAGAAAACTGGCGGGATGCCAGTCCTTTTTTCAGCGATCCGCATAAAAACGTTGCCGAGAAACCGTCCCACACCTGTTGATTTCAGCAAGCTTTCGTCCCTCTAAATTTGGCGTTCGAAAATGCTCGAATTCAGTGGACAGTGGTCACAGGACATCAAATAGACGGCGGTCGTGTGACGTCGTCAGTGTCATGTCGGTCGGGCGACATCGTCGGCGTGACGCGGTGTTGTGGCACCAATCAAGTGACATCATTGACACCACAACGTGACATTAAGTGGCCTCATGTGACCCAATGGCGTGACACCACAACTGGTCGTCACATCGCGTCATACGGTGACGTGGCCCATAACGGCTTCATCCACGTGGCTGCAATATGCATAGAGTATGTGTGACGAGCTCAGAAAAGGCACCCGATGCAGCCGAAGACCCGGCACACAGACCTTGTCGCTCGTCTTAATCGGTAGGATTAAGATACGTTAAATGTATTTTTTCTAACAAGCTGTCTCGTTTGTGCACGCAGCTTGGTGGATTGCTTCGAGGTCCCCTCTCCTGTGACGAGCCTGGACCTCTCTCCGACGGGGGAGTACCTGGCGACCACGCACGTGGACGACCTCGGGGTCTACCTGTGGTGTAACGCCACCCTGTACGGTCACGTGACCCTGCGGCCGCTGCCCGCCGACTATGTGCCTAAGGTGGTTGAACTGCCGGCAACCACGCTCCAAGCGGCGGGTGAGCGTGCCCATTCTCTTTTTACGGTTGCGTATCGTTAATATGGGCCTCATTACGTGGACAAAGTTTCGGGGAAGAACGGGGTTAATACGGTTGTTTTTATCTCGCCACTCCTTATTATGGATGACTCCCCTTGTAGATGAATTGTGGGGAGAACAGAGGTGTCCCTTTTAATGAGTCAGGATTGTGCGTGCTTGGAAGATGGTTCCTGGTCCCTCCAGACCTGCAGAATGTCAACTGTTGTCATGCCTCCACTTCCAGTCGGCCGAGGGAAAGCTGTAGTTATTCATTAGTGTTTGGTGAAACCGGGTAGATGGCGTTGGCAGCCCCCCGATTCAAATAGACTGATCTCGCCAAGCGTTTGGCGCATGCGTGACGCCGCCATAACTTAGTTCACAGAAGGCAGACGGCAGTGCACGCGAGGGCTCGTGCCGTCTCGTGCTGTACACGCAGAGCTCCAGCGAGGTTCTTGCACGTGCAGAAAGACTAAAGTTCCCTCGATGCATTGCAACAGCGGTGGCGTAGTCAAACTGGCTGGTGAGATCGGTCTATTGTTTGGCCGTATTCGGTCAACCAGCCTTCTAATCTCTGTACGTACATTCAGTCAGTTAATCAATATTTTATTTTTTGCTTCGGACATTGTCAGACATGAATGTAGGCTTCAGGGGCTTAGAAGTCAAACCGTTTGACTCGATGAGGCTTCTGCAGCCTTACGAGAGGCAGACAGCTACCGTCCAGCATCAACCGAAAAGTGCAAAACAACGTGAATAGTATTTGAATGTTTTATATCAAGTGTCAGTGATTGCGGTTTTGCAGGCTCATGACTTTCAGCGAACAATCACCAAAGAAAAAATGAAAGTTGTTTACAGCAACCTTTAACACTGAATTGGAGCGCAACTCTTGAGGAGGAGGGAAGGGTACTGAGGGGAGGGTATACCCCTTTTCCTCCTCCTTCTCCTCCTCCCTCCTCCTCTGCATCCTCCTCCCCCCCCCCCCCTCGTCCTCCTCCTCTTTCCCACGCTTTGCATTATGGGACATTTCCTATAATGTACCGTGCAATTACGCCGGTGGCGACGCCGCTCAAGCCGGAAATGCACGCCTTAGAGCTGCGCTCTAAAACAGCATCAAGTAAACATAATGTGTAAAAAAAAAAAAAATATATATATATATCTATATATATATATCAGTTTTTTTTTACGATGGTGGCTGTGTGGAGAAATGAACTTCACACACGGCTGCCGTTTTGTCTTCCGACGTGTGGAAGTGTAGTCTGCGTCGGTACACACTTTGCCTCACCTTTACTTCCGCGACCAGATGCCTAATCTGTGTTTGCACAATTTACACCTTTTACAGATGGAACGGAGGAGGTTCTCGACGACGGGGAAGACATGGAGGTTGGGGACTATGAGTCGCCTGACCAGATATCAGCCGACATGGTGACCCTTTCGAAGCTGCCTTACTCTCGCTGGCAGAACCTTCTCAACATCGAAGTCGTCAAGGTGAGCCGAGGACGGGTCACTGGGTTGGTGCAGCCTGTGAGAGGCAACAAAGCCAAAGTTCCGGGGTTTTATGTGCCAAACCAAAGCAAGTTTGGCACATAGATCAGAGAGGAAGTGAAGTGCGTAACTCGTAGGTAACAGGAAGTTCTTTAAAGTGACGCCGTAATGACCTGTGAAACACCGGTTTGTTTTTCACCACACACAATTGGAGTCGCAGAAAAAATTCAAAGAAAAACGAGCAGCGTTCACCTTCTCAACTCACAGCCGCAACAAGCAGCCACGTGATCTGGAGCCGATTATGTGCCGCCAGTGTTGATCATAGCCACGCGCTGGGGTTGGCAAGGCACAGGACATGAGCCGAGTTCCAGACATTGTTATGGTTCGGCTATTGTCGTCATTGCAGCGATTGGACACGGGCCACCACCCGAATGCTTCTCGAGCTATCGATTACCACGAGCTTAAATCGAGTGCCCATGCAATGCTCGGGTCCAATCTATGAGCCACCTTCAAATATCGCCAATGGGCGGTACTGCGACTGCTCAGCTACGTCATCAAGTTTTGCGAAGGAGAGATTGAATGAAAACGCTCGTTTTTGTCTTTGACTTTACACCGCAGCAAAGGAGTTTCTTGGCCAGTGAAATTGCATGCGAGTATCCTTGAGTCGCATTAGTGCCAGTAACTTGTGTAAAGTGAACGTTCCAACTAAATATTGTTGCCACCGCCCTTTTAAGTTACTGCAGAAAAATGCCGATTTTTACGGCATCTTATCTGCGACGGACATTTATATAACGAGAGGTGTTGGGCTGAGAAGATGCATTGAAGGAGTGACTTTCTCTCTTTACCCGTCTTTTCGTGCAGCAAAGGAACAAGCCCAAGGAACCACCACAGGCCCCCAAGGCCGCCCCCTTCTTCCTGCCCACCTCGACGGGACTGGACCCCAAGTTTGCCCTCCCCGAAGACAAGGGCGGCGAGGTGAGACATTGTCAGTCGGCTGGTCTTCGGCAAGCCGACATTGGTCTGTAGACCACCCAGATCTGCCAGACTTGTTTCCTCAAGAGCAGGAGACCTCAAATCAGGTTCTTAGGAACACGAAGATTCCCCAGAGTACTCTCACAAGTTCCTCGAGCTCACAAATTTTCTCGACCATCCGTGCCCCTAAGTAAATGAAGGCCTTTAAAAGTTTGGACACTATTTTAGCAGATCTAAGCCACCTGTCGACGCGTAACTGTGAGCCAAACACTCCCCCGTATATTCATTATTGCACACCCTGCCAGGTCTCCACATTACCCCGGAGACTCCCGGACTTCGACCATTTCGTACGGTCGTACGTATTGGCAGGAAAATCTCCTGGAAAACGCGAGATAACCCCTTCGCATTTAAACAAAGTTTTCGCCTTCGCAACAGACTGCGGCAATGATTGCGAAGCCCAACTGTATCTCGCTAGCAGGAGTGGTGCAATAAAAATGTAACGAAAGGTTGTCTTCGTGCGAATTGATTGTCATCTCTTCTTCTGCAGCACAGATAACTGACAGCACCTCGTTTGGTGCTCTCCTTCCTTTCAGGGAGGCTCGAAAATTGTCTCATTCGAGCACTTCCAGCTCTCTGCATTTGGGAGGCTGCTCAACTCATGTGCTGAATCTGGCAACTGTGAGTCCTCTATCTGGGTTCTCTTTATTTCGTGAGCCGCCTTTTGGGGACATGGAGCGTGTGCTCTATCCACGGTTGCTCATTAAGGCCAGCCTGGGTTGTCTAGAACAGCCCAACAAAGTGTTCATGCATAAAAGACGACCTTCTCGCCACATTTTTTCCGGACGTACTAAACTGTGGCAGCCAATCAGACGTGCATTTCCGGTATATATTTTTGCTTCTAGATACACCAGTTCTGGAGAGGTTGAAAGAGCTGGGTCCGTCAAGCATTGACTTCGAGATCCGCGGACTCTCTCCGGAGTCCGGGGGATCGGCGGAGGTGATGCTCAACTTTCTGCGGGCAATGACTGTGGGCTTGAGGTCACGCCGGGACTTCGAGTTGATCCAGTCTTACCTGGGTCTGTTTCTCAAGGTGGGTAATGGTCCAACTCGGTTCCATGGAAGCTAGCCCGGCTCGTAATGTGCCTCGAATCGTAACGTCAGAGTCTGCGCTGCGAGTTTGCGTTCCCCGTGCTGTCAACCAAGTGGCAATGAAAGAGAGTATGATCAGTTTTGTGCAGAAGCACAGATTCTTTCGTTCGGTGTTCCACCGCACGCCTCTGCAATACGTTCACTCCCACAGTATCCTGTTGGCAGTGGTCGAAAATAACAAGAGTAGTACTCGAAAACCGTGAAAGTAGGAATGAAAGCGGTGCATGCTGCATTTTGGCATTGAGTGTTACTTGATGCTTGCGTGAAAAGAAGCTGGTCCTTCGAGCTTATAACACTTCTGCCATAAAGGACTTTGAAGCTTATCCCATTGCTGTCCACTGCTTGCATTTGGGATTCTGCCTGATCAGAGTATAGTTCTAATCTGCCTTTGCGAGTGGCAAAGATGGAGCAAAGCCCCGTCGGCAACAACTTAGGAGGGACACTGCACATATTGGAACCATTAACTTGTTCTTCTGAATCTTCACACCTGGTCGCAAACAAAGTGACCGACCGTGCTTCACGCTTGTCAAGCATGTTTTCATTCAGCCAGCTTCTTTTTTTTTTTTTTTTTTTCAGATGTTCTGGCAGATTATTAGGTCAGAGGGATGTAGGCAGTGTTTGAGAACTAAAAAATAGAAAAGGATTAAATGAAAAACTTGCTGTCTTTTTGGTATACTAAATTTGAAAGGCACTCTAAATGCTTAAAATTTTTAGGTCCTTTGCAATGTCACATTGTCATGCGATGACCGTCACACTGACGATGTCGTGTAACAGTTTTCATGTGATGTCACGGTGGACCTTTTAAAACGCTGATTTACTAGATTACAGACCTGTGCTTATCTACACAGGTTGAATTTCAAGTGCTGCTTTGTTTGCTCGGCATTCGTTGCGATTACAGATTCACGCGGATGCGCTGGCCTCGGAGGCAGAGTTCCGGGAAGTTCTGGACTTGCTGTCTAAAGAGCAGCAGGCATCGTGGACGAAACTGGAGGCCACCTTCAACCAGTCCCTGTGCATCGTCAATTACCTCAGGAGTGCCGTCCTGTAGAGTGGGCGGCTCTCCAGCGTGTAAATATACATACATATCCCACTAACCTCATTTGGCCTCCTGTCATTACTTGCTACAGTAGCCAAATGTGCCGTCACATGCTGCGACCATACCATAACGCTGCATCATTCTGTAGTATGCAAAGTCATAGCCTCCTCTATACTCACAAAGCCTGGCAGTTTGACGACGGAGCCATAGAGTGCCCGGTTGCATATTTGGACCGTGAGGATCTGGTAGCACAAGGCATCGAAGAGCCATTTCTCGGGGAACCTGGACGTCAGCGCACAGCTTTTGCAGCGGCAAAGACCCGAAACACACTTGTTCAGTCGGGAGAAGTGTTTCGACGTCTCGCCACAGTGGGGCGCCAGTCACGTCGCTTTCCTCTCATCCGTTGTCTGCCGCTCCACCTTTTACATTTTGACAGCCGCTTCTCGTGGCGATCTGCCAGGCTTTTTCAGTATATAGGAGGCTATGGCAAAGTGCCAGTTCGTCTGCTTCTTGTGCAGAGGTTGCTGCGATGCGAGAATGCCGAGCTCCGATTGGAAGCATAGTGGGTAGACCTCAAGGCAGCTGGCATTGAAGCCTACCCACTATACCCGTTCCAATAAGAACCAGTCAGAGATTGGCATTTTGATGTCAACGCAACCCCTGCGCAAGAAGCAGACGAACTTGCGTTCCGCACGGGCAGTGGGGGGACCACTTTGTTTAACTGTGCCGAGGCTCACTTTTACAGCACTTGAGCATGTCTTCTTTTTTTGGATACTGGACCATACGTTTCAGGCATCGATGACAGGACAACCGATGCAGATGATCGGACATTAAGCATATGCTACATCATAGTCTTTTTTACCAGCACTTGCATAGTTACTCGACTTTTCGTGTACCGTTTTACCTGGATGTTACATTGAATATGTTAAAGGGGCCCTGCAAGGACTTTTTACTGGTTTTTAATTTGCACCGAACCTGAGCGCACTGAACGTAGTAACTTAGCGAAACTTTTCTTTTCGCGAAATTCGCTTTATTTTAAAAGTTATAGGCAATTTAGAATTACAAAAACAAGCAAAAAATAACCTCCTTCATGACGTCGTAGGTCCTGGCTTGAGTGGCCGTGAACTAGAGGAGGAATAGTGAGCTCATGGAGCGCTCACGGCCGCCGCACTCCGTGTCGACGGCGCGAGAGGGCGCCACTAAAGCATGTTCTCGATAGGCTGTATGCAGCGGGCAGCCAAAGCGGCTTTAATTGCATTTGCTGCATGATTAAACACTAATTCGGCATGACACTTCATTGGACACGAACGACAGCAAACACGGGGTAAAGATTGGTTCAGAATGGGAGTCACTTCGCGCTGCCATACCGCGAAACGGCCAAACCGCAAGGCAATGCCTCTCGCCGAAGGCCTTCGGAACGCTCGGAGCCGGTCGGATCCTCCTGTCCATACGACTGCAGCGCCACCGCGTACATCCGGGATTTTTTCCGTGTCGGCGCCTTATCCCACTACTCCTTTCTAGTATGCGCCGCCTTTTCCACTGCTTGGCGGCGGGTATGTCGACGGGCGATTTCTTGTTTCCATACTTTATAAACTGCATTTCTTTCTTTTTTTCATCGATAATAGTGAACAAAGACTACTTTTATAAATAATTGAAACGGTTCGCACCACTTATATTTTGTATTTCGACCAAAAAGAAGTTTTTAGCAGCTCTGACCAGTAGTAAGCCCAGGACCAAAGACGTCACATTTTGCGCGCTTTCGGTACCGCGGGTCGCCCTTGTCGGTGGAGGAGGTTTCCATGTCGTCCGGTTAAAATATGGCGCACTGATATTAAGCTACTCTTACCGTGCCCGCTGGCTTGCCCGAACCCCAAGAGACGTGGAAACCGCATAAAAGGTAGACGCTTAAATATGATTGCAGGGCCCCTTTAAGAGCTGATTTCGAAAACAAAAAAAAAACACCAGCGTTGCAGAAAAAAAATTTTCTACCCTACTTTTTTTTTCCTCGTTGACCTGTAATACAACTGCACTGAACGGTCCTTAGGGTTGTTCCTTTCTGTCAGAACCACATTTCTTGCCCCATTCCCTTCTCTTAGCTATAACAGCATTACTGGAAAAAATGTTTCTCATTCATAACTTACAATATTTTCTTCAGTATTTATATAGTCACCTAACAACACAAGCCCGATAAACACTGAATTCTCCCCGGCATTGAAGTTAAAGACCAAAAAACACAGACTTGAAGGGAAAAACATAAACGCCAATAACCTACAAATTTGAAAAAAAAAATAAAAAATGACAACACAGAATTTGTTATGGAGAATGGAATGTACAGTAAAACCTCGTTATAACAAAGTTGAAGGAGCGGTCGTAGTTATTTCGTTATAACCATTAGTTTGTTATAGCCAATGTCCATTTCTCCATACTATTAGCAAGCAAGGGGAATTATGATTGCTTTGTTATATCCATTAGTTTGTTATATCCCATTTTGTTATAACGAGGTTTTACTGTATTAGAAACTGCAAATTTGCTCTTTTTACCCCGTTAACTGCATTTGTTGGTACGTCAAGCTGTAGTCTTATCGAAGTAGTGCCGTGCTGCATCGCAGCCAAAAGTGTCTGCACTCCGTCTCAGATGTACAGTAAAACCTCGTTATAACAAAATGGGATATAACAAACTAATGGATATAACAAAATAATCATAATTCCCCTTGATTGCTATAGTGGGAAGAAATAGATATTGGCTATAACAAACCAATGGTTATAACAAAACAATTATGACCGCTCCTTCAACTTTGTTATAACGAGGTTTTACTGTAGCATGCAACACCATTAAAGTTATTGATGCGAGCACGCAATTCTGTCTAGAGCGTCTTGCACACGCTCTCAGGCAAAGAGGCCACCAGACTTAGCCACACGTTCGCACCAACAGTTTTGAAAGCATTGCATGACATGTGGAGCAGGGTATAGCTCCAAATGCGACAAGACAACGCAAGGCAGAACACATAAAAGACACGTCTCATAAAATTACACATCCCTTTAATCCATCACATTCGTATTGCATACTCGCTACCAATAAATATTTATTCAAACTAGCTCCTTCGTGGCGACGTCACTTAGCAAAAACGGGTCCGTCAAACATTGTAAATTTTTCGCAATTGCCGGAAATTCGCAGGTTTTCGTGGGGGATATTTTTTTTTCTCTCCCTCTTCCCTTCTAAGTTTTGCGGTTGCAGGAGAGATGCCGGCCGCGGCTGGGGTGTGCAACTTATTTACAGAAAGCGAACAAGCGTGTTCCGGTTTGCCGAGGGATCTGGCCCGCTGATTCCGCTTGCAATGAAATGGGGTGCGACTTGCAAAAAGTGCAATGAAGTTTAAAAAGCGACGTTACCGGTTTTCCGGGCCAGTCGCCAACCGATGTTGATGAGGAAAACAATGATAGCGAAGAAACGTCCCATCTGCAAGACTTCTCAAACAAAGAGCGCAGGTAAGAAAAACCGACTCGTCCCCATACACTAGCTGGTACATAATGGTAATAGTCTTGTAAACAATGTGCGTGGCAACAAGAGCTTTTTTGTCTCTTCTCGTGGTCAAATTGTGGTTCTTTGCCGCCTCGCGTCCGGTTTGCGCAACGAGTGAGCCGGCAGTTGCGTCACGCCACCGAAGGACGTTAAAAGCGTGAATGAAATGTTACATTTTAACACAAAAACTGTACAAAAACGAGTGTTCGTTTAATGGCAATACGAGCGTCTTCTTGCTTCGGCTCTCCCCAACGAAGCGTTCGAGCACCCGCAAAGAAACTTACGTTCCTCTGCGTCTTTGGAGGGGAAAAAAGAAAAAAAGGGCAAGCGATATAAAACGGTGGCTTCGCAATACTTTGACGATCGAAACACGAGACAAGTCTGGTGCAAACGTGGTTAGGAGAGAAAAAAACAAATGTGCAAAGACCCGCAGCCGCGACTTTTTAACGTTCGGCAGATGGAACGCGGGATGAGGAAGAAGGCACTTTTCGTGACAGACTTTCACACCGAGACGAGGTAGTCTTTCCCGCCGCACAGTTTTTGGTCCGGAGGGTCGGACGAAACAGTTGTCCGTGCACTGGCACTCCGTTCCGTTGGCCCCGCACGCAGCACAGACAATGTTCTGCACGCGTGCACATACACACGTTGCCCTAGTTGAAGGTGGAACATCACTCGTCGGGGGTGGCTGGCTGTGGCGCGGCGGGCGCCGTGGTGTGCGCGCTTGCCACCAGGGTTCCCGAAGACGTCGCCTTGTTAGAGACCGCTGGGGAGGCGGGGGCGGTCTTGGCGAGGGGCGGCCTCGCCGTGGCGATGAGGGGGAGGTCGTCTTCGTCCGACGAGCTCTCGGGTCCCGTCCACAGGCGGTCCCCCCGGCCGTTTTCGCGCGGGAATGCGGCGGGGTTGGCAGAGACTGCGCTCGTGGGATCTCGTCCGTTTTCGTGACGCGCCAAGTGGCTGGTTAGTTGGAGCGGGCCGGCGAGGCGCGGTCGTTTCGGCTCGCTGGGGCTGCAGGACCGCTCGCCGTCTTGATGATGATGTTGCTGCTGCTGTTGCTGCAGCTGCTGCTGTTGAGAGTTCTCTTGCTCGTCGAGGAAACGGTCCATGTAGTCCCTGCAGGGTTGACAGAGTATGAGGCACGGCATAAAGGTTTGGGCTGTCCCGTTGAGGCATAGGAGTTGCTTTTGCGACACCTTCAATCCAAGAATGAGTGCCCCCCACATGCCTCCAAGAACGACAACATGGAATTAACGGGACATGCTTATCGGAAAACCTCGTGCTCGGCTTGCACGTAAAGGAAATCTAACGGAAGCGTTCTGTCCGACCCCGGGGTTCTCAAAACTCCCTGATCTCAAGAAGCATCGATCCACCTGGAAAGGCAGCCGAGGAACCTATTCCCGGTCTTGGCATTCATGTGATAAGGCAGTGCAGAAGCTTGCAGGCCTGGTAAGCAATGATGCACATACTAGTGCACTTATAGATCAATGGGTGGCTCAGATCTCCTTACATGGCACCTAAACTGGAAAGAAACTTTACTTAATGACGGGGATAGTCGAGGAAAATCGTGACGACCCTGTTGGGTAATTTGGGGGACACCTGGGTTCCTCGGAATCCAGTATTCGTGGTCTGGCCAACGTGACTTTCCTTTATAACGATGTAGGAAGGGCAGGACGTCACTTTGGAACTCCCAAAAACAAATGTCGGAAAGTAAAACGAGAATATGCTCACACAGGCCTGCCGAAAAAAAACAACAGAAGATGTGTACATCCGCAGACAATAAAAGTAAAACGCACAAAGGCACTCCGTTGCTCGCACTGGTGCAACTACTACCTCAGAGGACGGCATGTAAAATGTGCTCTGGTACAACAAATCCTCCAAGTCGCCATGCTAACCCGGATCAAACGTCCAGATTTCTTTTGTCTGCAACTGTACGAAGGAACATTGCTTTATACGGATGAACACTTACGTGGTCCCGGGGTGGAGGGCGTACTTCTTCTTCTCGAGCCGAACCTTGCTAGCGAAGATGTCGTGCCGCTCCGTCTTCTTCCACAGGTAGTAGAAATGGACCAGCTCCGCCACCGACCGCGTCCTCACCTGCATTCGCATGCGCCAGACCTGAGTGCGTGTTGATGACGAGGACGACGAAGTGCACGTTCGTGTCGACCTGTCTTCCGACAGGCGGCTGTGTCGTCGATGCCGCAAACTAACCCCGGTGTCAACAGGAAGATGCAGAACCGCTTATTGGGGCCGAATTGGAGTAGAAATCCGCACGAGTTGGTTCGTGGCGTTGAAAAGCAGCTAGTAGATCGGCAGCGAAGCGTGCAACAACAGACAGAGTGAAAAGTGCGGACAAAACGAGTGCCGTTTCGTCCACTTCATCCTTGTTTAGCCTTTATTGAAAGTAATTCCTCAAAGCTGCGTCGGCAGCAAAGTACTAGTGCAACTTTTTATGCCGTGGACAACAACATAAACTACTGACAAAAGCACACTTGCATTACAAATAGAACTTACAAAACCCAACAGTCTTAGGATGATGTAGATTATCCAGAGCAGTGGTTTTCAACCATTGATGTTGCGCAGACCCCTTTGTGGGTCGGCAGAGATGATGGAGGACCCCGTTCGTGGTGGGGGAAGGGAAAGGTTAATTATGATAATGGTTTAATGAACGGATATAACTATAGGCTGTGTAAAGTAGGCTTTTCTCATTGACAAAGACTACAAAACTCACCCGAAAATTGGAATGTTTCTTCTCAATTTGAAAAACTACAACTTTTATTGATAAGCTTGACTGATGGGGCAGGGCTTCACAGACCCCTAGGATGCTTCAGCAGACCCAAAGGGGACTGAAGGGGTCCGCAGACCCCCATTTGAGAATCACTGATCCAAAAAATGCAATAAAAAGGAAAAAAAAAAAGTTCTAAAACTAAACAAACGATGCCTCTGCATAGTCTGCTTACTGTTTTGTCCCTAGTGACAGGTGGACTCCTCTCTTTTTTTTTTATTTAAGTGTTTTTCTTATAAGCATGATGGCATGAAACAGACAACATGCAGGTTTAGGCCATGTTCCTTATCTTGACAAGATCCAAGTTACTCCCGAAGGTTATATAGCATGGTAACACAGACAGAGAGACTCTGGACACAAGTAGGCTTTCGAGCCAAAGTACAAATCCCATGCTCTGGAGGTAGATAGAGTAAATTGTGGAACTCGGCCTTATAGGCAGACGAAGAAATAAGCAGACGCCTTTGCTTCGTCTGCTCATTGGCAGTAGACGTTTCCACGTGCACTCGGTTGGTCCCTGCCCGGTTGGGTGCCCACCTTGTGCAGCTGTATGAGGTGGAAGTCTTTGCCGTAGAGGCGCAGCCCGCTCTCGAAGCTCCGGCATTCTTCCTCGGACCACAGGCTCATCTCTGGGGAGGGGCAGAGCGGGGCCCGCTCGAGCACTTGGGCCTCAGGGGACCCCGCCCCCGAAACCCGACCCCTCCCGTGCACCGCCTCGGGGTCCCCGCCGCCGGGGACGGGCCGGCGGGCAACCCTGGGGGATTGCTGCAAGGGGGGTTCGTCGAGGCACGCACCCGAGGGGAGCGCTGGATTCATGCGCCGCCGCCGCAGGGCCTCCTCCACGTTGTGGCCGCACTGGAGCAGCAGGTACAGCGCCTGCTTCCGGGAGACGCCGAGAGGGCCGCATCAGCCATCGCGCCATTGCATAGCACGGTGTCGCACGACATGGCGGAATGCGACGTGCTGTCGCATTAAGGATGGTTCAGATAGTTGCAACCGACTACGACCTAGTCCAACAAAACGGGGTTTTAAGCCGCTTACAACCGCCATTGATGCTGGGCGGCACGGTTGTAAGCCGTAACAAGAGGCTTAAAAACCGGTCCTGTCGGACTCGGTCGTAGTCTGTTGCAACAGTGTGAACAAGCCTTTACACGGTGTGGCACGATTCGGCACCATGCGATGCAGAATCGCAGGACACATCGTCACATTATGCAGGATGGCACAACCCAGCGCCAAGTGACACACCATCGTTTGATGCAACATCATGTGACATGCCATCATGTGACACAGCGTCATAAGGCTCTCATGTTGCAGTGCCACGTGACATACCACTGCACAACGCAGCACCACTTGACACACCGTTGTGCTATACAGCATCACGTGACGTGCCATTGAGCGACGCAGCACGACGAGACACGCATCGCAGAAAACACGGTGCTTTAAAGTTTTTAACGTTCCGAGACGAAGCTTGGGAGTTTTCGTGCTCTGGGAACATTCAGGTGATCTAGTAGCCAAACAGCTCATTACAGTGCCTGAAATGAGTCTCGAGCTGGTGTGTTCAGCATCTCACAGGGCCTATGCACTCGAGTAACCTCCAAATGGCAACACTGAGCTCCTAGCAACCCAGGGGTTCCCTTAGAGGGGCACTGACAGCCCAAAGGTTATTTTTTTGTTGAGTCGTAGCTTGTGTAGACCCACCTGTTCGTCGTCTCGCGTGTGACATCCGACGGGCAAGGATCCGTAGCCGACGGCGTTGCCAGTGGGCTCCTGAGCCGTCGAAAGGTAGTCCTCCACTGAAAAGAAAGTGCGGACCCCGTCGGAAAAAAGAAGACAGATGACGACGAAGAGCGCTAAATTGGACCACGTCGACCCGTGCAACACCTCCACCGCTCCACCGAAGCTCCCCCTACCGTCCGTGTCGGAAATCTTGGCGGGGTCCCACAGCAGACGGTCCTCGTTCTCGTAGGCTGCGGGACGGGCACAAAAGAAAAACGAGAAAGATGTGACCTTCGAGCTGGGGGGGCTCCATGGTGTAAGACAAATATACCGCGATACCATTAGCCTACTTAAAATCGAAAGTGAATCGAGTGAAAAGGTAGGAGTAAACTAACTTTCAAAGTGCAATAAAAAAAGTTTGAAAAAAAAAAAAAAATGCTAGCTTTAGATTTTGTGATTTGCGAAACTTGTGTGATTGCAGGGCGAGGCGACGAACCGAGGACGACTGTCCTTCCCAGTCTGCAATGTTCTTGGCTAAGTAACACCAGGTCCCTGCAATTACTAGAAATGGCCAATATATTGGGGTGTCCCAAGAAATAGCAAATCGCGCTAAAAATAGGTGAGTATTATCTTTCAGGGTTGGGGCACCTCTCAGGATATTACGGTAGGGTCCTTCATTTTCGGGTTTTACATTTTAAAGAAAAGGGGGTGGGGGAGGGCGGGTAAAAATCTTGTGCTTTAATCCAAAATGGTGATCAGAAAGAACTGTTTTCTTATTTGACTATTTTGAAATTCGAGTTTCTCGGGTTATATTTTAGAAACATCCAAATATAAGAATTTATAGACGCTTTCAGCGAGTCAGTTATTCGAGCTGCCACCAGTCGGCGCGCCCTTCGCGCGCTTTCCGGTCCGCCATAGCCGACCTTCAGTTCCTCGCCGTTCAGGGGGGTGTAAAGGTGGGTGAGGAGGAGTGGCAAATCCCGTGTGCCGACACCCGGGGTCCCGAGTGAACGATCGCAAAAGAGAGCGACAGAACACGAGAGAAAGAAAGCAACGTTGCCATGGTAAACGCGAAGAGTGAAAACTCTCAGCAATATAAACAGTGATAATTTAACGTTGTAAACTAAATTCTGAGCTATTCTAAGGTTTATAAAAAGCAATAAAGTCATTACGCTGCATTAACTTCCCTTCTGTCGAAATCTCGGAAATCTGGTGGTTGCGCAGTTTCGTATTCCTCAACCGCGCCCACCCGCACCCCACCGGCCAAGCCGGATACAGTAAAACCTCGTTATAACAAAGTTGAAGGAGCGGTCGTAATTATTTCGTTATAGCCATTAGTTTGTTATAGCCAATGTCCATTTCTTCGCACTATTAGCAAGCAAGGGGAATTATGATTGCTTTGTTATATCCATTAATTTGTTATATCCCGTTTTGTTATAACGAGGTTTTACTGTATATGGTTTAGTTTAGCGTTAACGCGAGGCCGTACATCTGCGCGCTATGCAAAAAGAAAGCTTCGAAAGGAACGCGAATATCTTTCCACCGTGGACTTCAACAATCCACAGTTTGTGGATTGTTGAAGTTCACGAAACTGCTCTGATGATGTAACCGTGTTTGGGACCCCGAGGGTCTGCCTGCATGATCCGCTGCTTGCGGCAGCCAGAATGTATGGGAAAATGGCGGACCTTTTCCTCTAGAGTTAGTATGTATGATCTCTATGTCGCCGTTGCTCCGCGTTGTATGCTGCACAGGCCACTACCGGAGCCTCGTTTTCGTGTTTTTTTACGTTTCGCGTTGAAATTTTGTATTTTCTATAGGTCTTTTCTATACTAAGGACTTATATTTAATCATTTGATATTTATATTTCGACATAGCTCTTGTATTTTCTTAGTTATGGAGTGGAATCGGACAGCGAATGGGTTGACGATACAAGATTATGAGGCTTCAATGACCATGTAAGTTCATCTCATTCTTACGTTTTGGTCGCTAATAAAGGGAAGTCAACACTATTGCGACATATGTGAATTGCAACTGACGCAGTGAGGCTATTGCAGTCGTGCTTCTCGCTGCATGCGCACGCTCGTTTCTGTAAAGTCGACCCGCATCTAAGCGATTTAGCGTGCGACGAGACGAGCAGCGGAGAGTTTTCACTGTCGCCCGTCGCATTGCTCGGTTTTGGGATTTCTAGAAAACGTCGCTCACCGTCTTGGTCGCTTGCTTCGTCGCTTCCATGCGGTCTGCCTCGTCGCGCGACCGACTGAGCGACAGCAAAGCGGGTAGCCGTCGCTTATCTGGTCGCTCGCCAAATCGCTTACATACGGTTTATACTCAATTAATTCCCATTCACACTGCACTGAAGCATTGGCGCCTCGATATTAAGTATACACCGCATGCAAGCGATTCGGCGAGCAACGAGACACGCGACGGTGACCCGCTTCGCTGTCGCTCGGGCAGTCGCGCGACGAGGCAAACCGCATGGAAGCGACAGGAGCAAGTGACCAAGACGGTGAGCGACGTTTTCTAGAAACCCAAAAAACCGAGCGATGCAAAAGGCGACAGTGAGAAATCTTCGTCGCTGACTCTCGTCGTTGTCGCCGTCGCTCGTTTCGTCGCACGCTAAATCGCTTACATGCGGGTCGGCTTTGCAGAAACGAGCGTGCGCATGCAGCGAGAAGGACTGCGATAGCCTCACTGCGTCAGTTGAAATTTGCATATGTCGCAATGGTGTTGACTGCCCTTTATTAGCGACAAAAACGTTAGAATGGGATGAACTTACATCGTCTCTAAAGCCATAATCTTGTATCGTCGATCCATTCGTTGTCCGATTCCATTTCATAAATAAGAAAATACAAGAGCTAATGTTGACATATAGATACCAAATGATTAAATGAAAGCCCAAAATATCGAAAATACCTAAAGAAAACACACGATTTCAACGCGGGACGTAAAAAAAACGCGAAAACAAAGCTCCGGTAGTGGCCGGTGCAGCACACAACGCGGAGGAACGGCGAGAAACTGAAGGGCGGCTATGGCGGCAGGGTCACATGACGCCAAGATGGCGGCGCCCATGAAATGTCACCTGAAAGGGTCTATAGGTTTTAATACATATATTATTTCAAATAAAGTACTGTATACAAGATAGCATTGAAACATGGAAAGGGCTCACATGGGTTTTTAAATTTTTCGTAAATCCCTCTTGCTTATATAATATTCTGCATGCACAGCATCCCTGTCTTCATCCTAGACCTGTCCGGTTTTTGAAAAAACATTCTCTCAGCATTACAGCGTACATACATTTGAAATTAGTTAATTCTCACTCCTCTTTTTTTTTTTTTTATGCTAATTAAAACGGAAAAAAAGAGAAGGGCAAAGGATACTTCACAATGAACACAAAGGCAACATTTGAGGGCTCGACCTACGTCACTGCAGTCCAGTGAATCCAAAAAGAATCTAGGATTGTTTCAGAGGTCTGGAGCCAGTGCCATACGTGTCCCTACCAACTTTCTGCTCCCTAGAAAGTATTTTCGGAGCACAGCAATTTGGAAAATGCTGAAATTTGATTTTTGAATGCAGGAAAAAAAAAATCGGGTTCAACACGATTGTTGAAAAACATGTCCAGGGGTGTAACATCGGGAACCGTTAGATTTTACCCGAAAATGAAGGACCCTAGACACATAGGTATGGACACCGTGCTCGTCGCAGCAGCCAGATAAAATCTGGTCACCCCGAATTACTGGTCACCCCGAATTAAAGGCTCCAAGGGGGGGGGGGGAGCTCACAAAGAGAGTGACAAAACTTGCGATAAGTGAGTCTTCACAACAGGCGATGTACATCTGAAATTTGCACACCGTGGATTAAGGCGTCTAAAACGGGAAAAGATTACTGCAAACCATAATTTGCAGTCCCCCATCCTTTTTTTAAACAGAAAATAAAGGACGACCATGTTACAAAACACATTCTCGGTATAAGTGTTTCAGACATCAAGGAAGAAAACACGAAGGCAGGAAGACGAACACTAACTTCGAACTATAATCGTCAAGTTGTGTTTCCCTTTGAGTTTTCCTCCTCGGCGTGCGAGATCCGCCACCGACGTGCTCGTTGCGTGTTCAAAGTGTTTCAGCTCTTGGAGGCCGTGGCACAGTTTCGAGAGAAGAGACCATCTCACCTGGCGCGTCGTCGTATTTACAGAGGCCGACCGGGATGGTGGCCTGGTATTCCGAGCCCACCTGTATCGTCTGCAAACGAAAGCCGCCGGAACGCAGAGGTTGAGGCACAGATTGGTCACTAGCCCAGAGCGACATTTCCTCTCGAAGGCAGGAATAAGGCCAGCGCCCTTCGAGGTTAGCGGGCCCAGAGCAAGACACTGTGCGTGCGTTCGGAATGCAGCGAAGTACGGTTTCACGGCGTGACCGGTGCTGGACGCCAAAGGATGGAACCGGGGAAAGGGATTTTCGCTTTAGACGAAAGGACGCCCACCACATTTTACGTGTATCGAGCGATTTTGCAGAATTTCAATGGCGTCTCTTGACCTTTAAACCGAAGACTGCGATTGTAGAACATTCGTTTCTTAAAAAATAAATGAATAAAAAGAAACATATGCATTTGAGTTTTGAGTGCAAATCGGTTGGTTCGTCCCCAGGATTATGAAATTCTTCCAACATGATTTGGATACTGATTACAATGAGCCTATGTACAGTTTGTCCCCCCAAAAACTTTGCACTGATTTTTTCACTGCAGAACAAGATATGCGTCGACGAACGCTCATTCTCCGCCCAAATATAGCGCTAGAAGTCCGAAGCAGGTGCCCAAGCTTCAAAACCATTTGTTATCTAATTGAAAAGTTTTAAGTGGTTTTCTGAAAATTCCAGTGGACAAATGAGGCCCGCTTTCACCGAATGGCACCATTCAGCTTCATGTATTCGAGAGCTCAGGGGGCCGCCATTTTCCCATTGAAAATTTAAGAAAATAACGGGTCAGTTTTGAAACTTTGCATTCTTGTTCAGACCGTTAGGGCTACATCTGGGAGGAGAATGAGCGTTCGTCGACGCATAGTTTATTTTTGCGGTGAAAGAAACTTTAATTTTTTTCGGATGGCACCCTGTATAAATTAAACTTGGGGTTCACGCATCGTGTCTTGCACTAAGGGAGGTGGCTAGTGCAGGAAGCCAGTAGCACTAAATGGATTCTTTCTCTTCTCTAGAAACAAAGAAAATAAAAACAAAGATTCTAATGTTTTTCAGCTTTTAAACACAATTCAATGAGGATGCCAACGTTAACCTGCAATGCCCTTTTCCACGGCACCACGACAGTGTCCAATCCGACAGGCCAGCAATGGTGTAAAATCAACCAGTTTGTGATCGACAGATTTTTACTATGCACGATAAAAAAGGTTAGGATGCCTCGCTCACACGCTGCGACTCCCAACATAAAATTGCCGAGAAGTTAATGGTGCAGCGGAAGCAAGCCTAAACCCAGACCCTTCACAACGACTCTGCGGAATCGCGGTAATCCCACGAAACATCGCCAACGTTTCCCCTCGTCTGCTCCACAATAATTGGCGTAAAATTCTCCAAGCTTCAAGCTCTTTGAACGTCATAGTTGCTTAGCGCGATCCCTTTTAACGTTTCGGTGCAGCTTTCCGATCGCCAACATCTCTGAGGGCTTTCGAGGGGAAGAAAAGAGGAGGAGAAGGAAAAAGCGCAGCTCCAGTACCTGATGGGGCACTCTGGCGTAAGCAGGTCCCAACAGGTTTACATCGTTAAAGTTTTCGTTCTGCAAAAAGAAGAGGGGGAGGGAGGGAGAAAGGCCGTCTGCAATGACGCAAGCGCATCCGAAGCTTCCAAAGCGCCACCAAACGCCGTGGGCACCGGAAACGCAAAGCGATTGCCTTGTGTGTGCCGGAAATAGCTATCTACCTAGTGAACCAGTAAGCAGAGGGAAACCCATCGCTGGATGCCATTTATGGGATGTTTACCACACTCACATTTTTTCAATTTACAATCTTTCTAGACTACCATCCAACAATCTTAGTTGGGTTTCTAAAGTAATTAGATAAGGCAGAGGTGCCTAAAGCTGTCGGCACTGACAACAGCACTCTGTGTGACAATGTGTTGAGGTAAGGGGAAGGCAAGATAAACATGGCAGCCAGCTTGACTGAGCTGAGCAGAGGCAGTGGCATGCTTAGAGATGGAGTTCTGCTCTTTCACATGTGCATGTGGGGGCAACTTGGGGGCAACTTTCAGGAAAGTCCCCTCTCTTCCCACATTTTCCCAACTGAGTAACGCCTTTGTGCATATTCCCTAGCGCCTACCTCAATGTCTCAAAGTTTATACTGAAAACACACCTTACATTTTTTGGGGAAGCTGCTAACTTTTCCCACACTCACCTTCTTTCTCGGCGTTTCTTATGGCTACCCGAGCAACTTCCCCCCTCCCCTCCACTGTTGCCGCGGGAAGCTCCCAATTCCACGGCATTTCCCCAACTCTCGCATGTTCCAGGCAAGTCCCTAGTTTTCTCCAATTTCCCCAACTCTGTCAAACCTATGTGACAATTCTCTAGCACATTCCCCCCCCCCCCCCCCCCCCCCCCTTTATCGAGCTTTCTTCTGCTATTGGCCAACGCAGTAATTGTTTTCCCAAACACAGGTTCTCCGTGCCACTGCACGGATAATCGGCACCTTTTTCTTATCGCCGTGGTAACGGGAACTCGCGTTTCTGGTGTTTCCACGGTGCTTGGCGGAGGGGTGAGCGGAGAAAGGCAAAGAATTCCGCCACTCGGATTACGTGAGCGAAAATGTGACTGCGCTCACCTTTTTCCAGTACTCCTCAATGGTGAAGTCCTCGTCGGAGTCCGAATTGGACGATTCACTCGCGTGGGAAACGGCTAGGGATGAAGGGGGTTCAAACGAGAAACGAATCAGGGCATCAGGCATCACCAGAGGCATCCTACCGATTTCGGAAAAAAAAAAAAAATAAGTGAGGTAACCGACGCATTGCTAGACTAGAAATTTTGTTCCGAAACTGAAACCGCAGGAACAATAAACTAGAAAGTAGATGTTGGAGGTCACTGCTGCTGTGTTTCTGCAGTCGATAAATGCCGAACTTGCAAAATAAACTTCGGTCTTGTGACAGTTTTGTTAAAAACATTATAAGGTACAACAATAAGGAAGGCTAAGTATATCGGCAGCCATGGTAGCGTTAATGGGAGAAATAATTAAATTATGCAAAATTTGCAGCGGGTTTGAATGTATTCGAAGCGGTGCAAGGTTCAGTCAATACAAACGCTCTGTTCATCCATCTGTGAAGAACAAGGATCAAGTGAGAAAGCAACCTGAGGATGGGTCACACTAGAACCGTAAATGTTAAACATTATTTTTATGCACATTTGATAAATCAAATAATGTGAAAGAGCACCAATTCCTACATTCTGCATTGATCAAATCGTGCCATTTTTCGACCGCAGAAGCGAGTTTTTCACACGCACGTGCAAGACGAAAGACAATTAAGACGTGTTTTGCGGCCACGAAACACTAAAAAGATTATGTGTGCTGTTCTCGTTCGGAACTAGCCGATGTGCAGACACTCAACGATGTGATTCAAAGCAATCCAGCACGACAGCACACGGCAAACAGTGGCTCCCGTGAGCCAATGCGACACCTCTCCACGGGAGGATTCCACTACAATGGTAGAATGTCACATGCCTTGCTCTAACTAGCTGGACGCGGACATAGATTTCGCCGTTTGCCAAGTTATGTCAATCGAAGTACAGAAAACGCCCCTCCAGAAAAGTGCGTTGAACTCACAGCGGAGCAGGTGCGCCGTGGAAGTGGTCCGGTGCTCCCTCCGTGGTGGAGGAGGTGCCGTGGGCGCTGGCGGTGGTGGGGTCCGGCTCACAACGGGCGGCGGCGTCTTGGTGGCGGTGGCCGCCTTCGGTTCCGCTTCTTTTACCGGAGGCGGGGGCGCGGGGGGTGCCACCACCACTTTCGCCGGCGGAACGGTCTCGACGCGAGGTGCCACCTTCTCGGCCTCTCCTTCATTCTCTTCCTCTTCCTCCTCCTCTTCTTCCTCGTCGTCTTCCTCCGACTCCGAATCTGCGTCGACGGCTTTTTCGCCGTCTTTGTAGCCGAACATGGCCAGCAAGTCTTCCAGCGGCATCTCTCCTTCCTGGGGCAATTGAAGAAAAGGAATGCGCATAAAGCACTAATTGTTTAAGGGTTGCGGAACGCCTCGTTCATACTCGAGCCACTGAACGAGCTTCGCTTAGGGTCAGCACTGTGTCCCTCATTTTTCTCGTGGGTGCCGCCATTTTTGTGCTTAATGCAGAGAAGGCACAATTGGCAGACATTGCAATACAATATATGCAACTTCCCGAGGTATAAATATGGCGTAGGGAGCCTCGGCCGACGTCGTCATGCTCTGTCGACGACAGTTTTAACATTTCTAGAAGAGGGAAAAGCGCTTACTACGATCTCAGACGGGGCTTCAGATAAACTGCCAACAATGATTTTGAGCACAAAGACGGCGGCAGAGGAGCCTAAGAGGGGAAGCCGAAGATATCCAACTCAAATCTGATACAACGGCAGAAGTGTTATTACTTTGGAAGATCTTTTCTACGTGGACACCGTCATGTTAAATCGCGGAGCTTTAGACATGCACGAAAACGTCCTTCTGCTCTCGCCACGCCACTGGGAGCAGCTCACGTTCTAATTGCGACCGTCTATCACTCTTGTTTTGCCTTTTATATATTATTTTACTCGTCCCGGGTTGTAATGCCGGGGAAAACCTTGCAGACGAAGCACGAAAGCGGGCCCCACCTTCTGGAGGGTGTTCAGCTCGTCGTCGCTGGCGTCGCTCTCCAGGGCTTCCTCTTCGTCGAGCGTCTTCTCGTCGTCGTACTCATCGACCAGCATCTCCGCAGACGGGTCAAAGTCTTGGTCGCTGTCTGAGACGTTGTTCGAAACACGTTCTCGGTTCTCGGCGCTTTGGGCACTCCTCGGCGGACTGTCGGAAGAGGACTTACCTGCCGACGGGTCGCCTGGGTTGGGCTGCAAAGACGGACGTTCCAATCAGTCAAGAACCGTTTGAGGGAATGAATGTACGCTGGGAACATCTGTCGGGAAAGCCGATGCCTGACACATCCTCTTTTCTCAGAAAAAAACAAGTCTGTTGGTCTTGAGCGCGACGGTCGTAGGAGTTCGTTTCTTACTTTATGGTCTTTCATTTCTTTCTGACAAGTTATGCCCCCCCCCCCCCCCCCCCCCCCCCCCCCCCCCCCCCCCCCCCCCCCCCCCCCCCCCCCCCAAAACGCAGTTATTAACAATGCAAGTGTTGCTGTGGTTGGCTGTCCATGGTTGGTCAAGCACTTAGAAGGTGTTGGTTTAAGAATGTGATGACTGCAAGCTTCCACTGTGTTTCTAACACTCTCCATAGAACTTCTTGTTCGAAACTTAAAGATAAGTAGGATTTCACATTCTCGGAGTTTATTTTTTGCTGAAAATGCAGTTTAGTGGAGTTTATTTTTGTTTGATTCCCAATTCTTTGAAATTTGAAGCTAAATTTTGCACTGCTTTTTATTTTTTATAAATAAATAAAAATATACGGATGTAAATGTACACTAGATTAAAGAGAACGAGCTTGTATCATTAATAATTCTTCAGCTGGATTTAAGGTTGGCACCATTGCCATCGCCAATACTCATTTGTCTTGCTGGCAAAAGTTGCAATCAAGTGTTGCTTTGGTAAATGTTGATACCTTAAAATCAATAAACTCCTTGAGGTGGTCGCTCGGATGCTGGTAATCAGCCCATCCTATCCATCAACCTACCCCGCGGCTGCGCAGGGTGGTGGTACAGGATGTAATATAGAAGCTAAAGTTGAGGCTTGGGCAAGTTGGTACATACTTCAGAATAAAAAACAGCGCGGAAAGACGAGGACCAGACAAAGAAGTGACACGGACGTAGCGCTACGTCCGTGTCACTTCATTGCCACAGCGCTACGTCCGTGTCACTTCTTTGTCTGGTCTTCGTCTTTCCGCGCTGTTTTTATTCCAAAGTAATAGAGAAGCTTCAACTGCCCACCTCCTCTTTACCCTTCTATAAAATCTCTATGGTTCACAGCTTTCAGTGTTACAAAAACCGGAAGTGGCCTTTGTCATGAACCAAAAGAACAATGACCCGTTGTTCTGAACGAAACCTGACGAGATGAGCAGTAAGATTCCCTTTGTCAATGGCCCGATATTTTAAAGGAAACTGGGGTGGCATTTTCTCACGACAACTGACCAAACCTAAAATACCGTCTTTTCCTTCTTCTGGCATTGGTACATTGAAATTCTTAATTTATCAGATAAAGCCAAATTGACGAAAATTTTACTGGCAGACGTTCTTCCGAGTTTTTCAGATTTATCCGAAGACACAGAACCCTAATGAGAAGTAACCGAGATTACAACTTGCGACCTCACAGTGAGGCAAATAGAGGTTGTGACACCAATAAGAGGGCGCCACCGAAACATCTCGATGCCAATACTCCGTCTAACCTTACAATGGATCACAGCAGATGCTATGAGCTACTGGAGCTAATCCATTGCTGTGCGAGTGTCACATGACCTTGGGGAGAGGCACAGCGACATGCAGGGCACAGTCGCGCGAGTTGTTCACGGAGCTGGAATGGCTCGCAGCAACCGCTGCGGCCCATTGTAAAGTGAAACAGAGTTTAGAGTTCAGCGGTACTCCCTCCACAGAGAATACTTTAGCCAAATGAAGCAGACCAGAAAAGTGCTTCTAGACATTAATTCCCAAACTAGTAAACGTAGCCCTATATGCAAAAGGTCGGTTTATTTGCTATCCGATAACCAACATGTAACAACTGTAATCAGTTCCTTTCCCGATTCCGCCAGCCAAACAGACGATAATACGCCACACGAAGGTAACCAAGCACGAAAGCACTTCGTGTAAGGAAACAAATATCAGCTTCTAGGAATGTGCGCGATTGATATCCGATTTGAACTTCAAACAATCCTCTATCAGTTAGCTTAACTTTCAGTGACGGGCGCCAATATGCGTAGATAGCAGCCGATATCTAAGTATTCGCGAGGATCATTGCTTCGTTTCAATATAAAAGCACCACTCTCTCACGAGCCGTGGAAGTGTGGTTATCACGTCGCGAGAAACACGGCGAACGCGTTATCGCCCGTTTTTACGTTCCCGAGGGCAGGCGTCAGAAGTTTAGGATGCCGTGACACTATCGGGGAGCAGTGTTGACCCAGCATTGGCAATATTGAACCCACCGTCAACTTGAAACGACAAGTGAAGCTCCACAAACAAAACTGGATGTTGACATCGCGAAGCGCGCGCTTGTCAACGCGTTTGAGAAGTCATCACGGGTAGAGCCCGCCCTAGGAACAGGACGACTGGCAGTCGAAAAAGCGACGTTGACACAAAACGAGTTCGGAGCGCGGCGGCGGGATTTTGAGTCGACGGTGAGGTTTCAAATTCGGTCAATGTTTCGGGGACCAACCCTAGTGACAAGCTAGACAAAAACAAAAAAAGGCGCGCGATAACGCGGCAAGCGCAGCTTCGCGCTCGGGCTCACCGCCGTGGAACGGTTTCGCAACATCTACGCTGACCGTTCGAATTTCCAGAATGGGACGATTCCGACCACAAGTGACAGAAAAATCGCGATAAACTGTAAGAATTAGTTAGTAAATAATGGGTACGAACCTCAGCCATTTTGCCCGCTGTCGTCCCAGCAACCGACGCTCGGAGGCGCCACGCGTCGTCGCCTCCGGGGGCAAAAATCCCAAAAGCCAGCGAAGCGAGGAAGTCATTAGTGTAGCCGCTATCCGAGTTTTATCTTTTAAAGACGATTGATAACTTTTTCTTTTTTGCCGATGTCGGTTTGTCATTTCATAATTAAAATATGGCGATGCTTTCTTGTATTTTTTTGGCGTTTACGGTACTGTGGGAGTTGGCATGGCAACTGTTGCTGTATCGCTGTCGTCTGCTCGGCGCAACCACTTGCGCAACACGAAACTCGGAAAAACTTGATCGCCGACGGGTTTTCACTTCACATTTATAAATTACAACAAATGCGTGCGCAATAAGCAGACATATTTGCGGAACTTTATATAATCTATTAACAGAAAAAGAAGCACGGAAAACACGAGAAACATTTGCAGCCATTTATTTCAAACATCTTTTTCTGTGAATCATACTTACAGTATGATACCACCTGTACACTGTTTAAGTCACTGTAAGCTGGAACAGAAGAGCATTATAAACAAGCGTTGAAATAACAAAACAACAAAAAAGTAGAAAGAAAGGGATGAGAACAAGTTATTCCAAAAACGCCGTTCTTGACGGCAAGATTGGTGGCAGTGAGTCATGAAGAGTCCTCTGTTAGGCTTTGAGCAGACAGTGCAAGCAGTTTTCCAATGTAACATACACGCACGTAAAGTTTCTTTTTTATTAGAAACTTAAAAGACGACCACACCTGAACGCAGGGTACAAAAAGATTCCTCGTCAATCACTCTGTGGTCACAACTTGAAAACAGACACAATGGAATAGACAACCATTCAACTTGCACTCTCTCCATACAAACAGCACACAAGTTTTGGTTTTGCGAGTTTTATATTAAAACAAGAAAACTACTCAAACTCAACCAAGTTGCTCCCATAGGTGACTGACTGGGCAGACATTGTCTCTTTGCCCACGTCGTCTACAGGATGTCGCCACAAAACAAGCATGGCCAAGCAAGGGGTTTGCTTGCCCTTGCCCCCCCCCATGCTTGTCTATCGTTTCCGAATTCCAAACCTAAGCACCACAGATAAATACACTTCCCCAATAGTCAATGACATGATACTCTTGGAGACTGACTTGCACTGTCTAAAGCGCCCTACCAGAAGACTCTTCCAACATAAATTTCTAAGGTTCCTAGACGGAGCCGAGGTCAGTCTCTGACTTTGAGGCCCCAAATGCTTGACCTCCTGCTGATCCCGATGGTTGGTCTGGCAACGGTGGAGAAGAGCTCCTTGTTGATCTCGACGCGGGGAAGCCCCTTCCGCAGGGTTACCAGCGCGCAGTCGGCCAGCACCCCAAAGACCGCTAGATGCCTCAGCGACTCCATCTTGTTCAGGGTCCTAGCCAAAGAGTCAACAAAATGAATGGATGGTCCATTTGAACAGGGCGGCAGCTTGCATCACCTAGCCATCCATTTTGGCACCGAACAAATGTGCTACTCGTAGTGAGGTGCTAGCAAGGTTTCAGGTTTCTAGTATTTGCCAATATTGGTACTAGACACCTGTGTGGCAAAATTAAATTGCAAAGTAGGGAAAAAAAAATTAAAACTTTGGTTTTATCCGGACGAAATAAGTGCACCTTGTAGGAAAAAGTGCCAAAAACCAGGAACCCTGTTTGGTAAACCTACTTACAGGCAGAACAGATATATGGCAAAATATGAAAACAGTGAAGCAAGAGGTGTTACATGAATTAGAGGTACTGATTGACATAATGAAGGTCCTATATATAGCAATAAAATATATATATATATATAACTGCACCCGTTGCCGCCACGCCTATATTCCTGTCCGAGTACTACTTCTCCTGGCACTCCCTTCACCAACCACCCAGACATTCCATATGCAGAATGCATTATATTGACATACCAAGCATTTCAGTGAACTGAAAAAAAAAAAAAGCTTGAGAAAAACTGACGAAAGCATGCAAGCCACTCGTCCGCTGCCTTTGTTTTGCCGTCTGCTGCGTACTAGCGCGTGCGCGCCTCGGGATCTCGGAGGCCATGGCGCAGCGGCCAATGGGAGCTCCGTCAACGCGTGCCAGTCGATGGAGCGGAAGGCGCGTGGAAACGATCTGCCGTTTTCGCGCTTCCAACTGATGACCTTGGCTCACTCCATCAGACAGTTAAAAAAAAAAAAAAAAAAAAAAAAAAAAAAAAAACATACTAATTGGCAAAATAATTGCCCAAAGTTACTAATTAACTTTTTAATTAAGTGAAAATAGACATATGGTCCGAATTAGAAACTTGCCGAGCGTCATCGAAAATCCCCGAATCAGTCACACTGACGCCCAGCAAGCTTTCGATTGGAACCATATGTTTATTTTCACCAGTTAAAAAGGTAGTGAGTAAATTTTAGGTAATTATTTTCCTAACTGATATATTTTTTTTTTGCAACCCCCGATGTCCCCTGTGACTGGCAGTTTGTTTCTGAAATGAGTTTCTTCCTTTCTCATGTGCCTCTTATTTAGAAATTTTTGAAAGTCCTCGCGGAAATACCCGGAATGCAGATCTGGGTGGTCTGAAGTCACATGACCAGACGTCATGCGACGTGGTCACGTTACACTGCGACCTGACACACAACGTTAATGAGTGTAGTAACATTGTCAATACCGTGACCTTGCGACTTCGCATAGCAACCTCACGTGACACCACAATGACATGACATGTGGCCTGGCACAGGTTAAATGGTCACCCGACCACATAACTCGTAGCAGCACGAGCCACGTGAGCCAACTAAATGTAGCTCGTGATGGCCCGATACGACTACGACCATGGCGACGAAACGCAAATATGAAGTTTTCTTTCGGTAAAATGCACATTGCACTAAGAAATATCTCACAGGTAAGAGGCGGGCTTGATCTTGTAGCATCGGCTGACCCCCAGCCTTTTGAGATCGCGCAGTCCACTGGCCACGGCCTCGATCACTTCGCTCGTCACGTGAATGGCGTCGCTGATGTCGAGCACGGTCAAGCCGGGACACTGAGCCACAAGCCTCTGCACATCTGGGAGAGGGGAAGCGAGGATATGGCACAAGCAGAAACAAACACGAGACGTGAACGGTAGTGCATTTTGGGAGCCAACTAGTAGTATTGCTAGTCACCGTTTTCTATGGTGAATGGTAAAGTGGATAATTGCTACTGAGCAATTTCCGAGGCAATGTCTCAAAAAAAGCGTTGCCTACTGTCATACCTTCTCTTCCTCCTCCACTTTGGATTCTTGTCACCCTCCACCCAGTCTAGGGGCGGCTCGCGATAATGATAAACCTATGCCAGCCCACACGCATCCTTGCCATTTTATCGTCATTAGTAATGCTATCATTAAGCAGCATGGGAGGCTAAAGGTGTCCACCATAACCACGCCTGCAACTCAGTGCGACGTTCTAGGGCCTTTTTGGGAATGTCTAACAAACTTCTACCAATTTGGAAATAAAATAAAATTGATACAGTATAACTGATACATATTCTCAGGGAACAGTGTCGCAAAAAAAAAGGCAGCCCGCTCAAATAAAAAAGGGCTCGCACAGACAATTCGGGATTAATTGGTTGTGTTAAAAAGCACATCGAGCTTTACAAAGAGCTGACTTTTACGATATTAGACTCGTTTATAGGCCTACGAAAAGGTGATGCTTGGGTATTGCAAACAAAAATAGAAATTGGGAATACAAAAAAAAAATGGTCTAAGTTTCGTCTGTTAGTAAATACCTTAAAGGCAGACGTACACTTTGCGCTTTCCACTTTTGCCCTCCCCTCCTTTCCTTTATCCTCTCCACTTTTAAGCTTGTCTCAACTTGGCTCCCCTCGCAGCTTAGGAGGGGGGAGCACTAACAGGATTATCTTCCCTGCAGAAAACCGAGGTTGTACGTCGGCCTTTAAAGCAGTAGATTTAGAATATAATCATTCCTCTTTTCACAACGCACTGCTCCTCCAAATAACAGCAATAAAAGAAAGTGAACACTCACGAGCGTCGGACAGAGCACCCCTGCAGCCTGCAATGTTGAGTTGTCGCATGTCGGGCGTCACATTTTCCACGAGAACTGTAACCTTCTCATGGTTCATTTCTGTCCATGCTAGATTCCAGGCAGTCAGTCTACAGAAAAAAAAAAGTCAGTGACTTTTATTAGTAAGTCTTATATGCATGAAAGGCATAAGATTGGTTAAGGAATTTGTGTGCCATGTGACATATTTTCTCGCTAAATTTAGCAGGGAAATTGGATTGGTGTATAGGCCACAAGACGTGCTTTCCCGCTAAATTCAGCAGACAACTGAATCGGTGTACAGTTCACAAGTTGTCGAATCCCCCAAGGTGTATATAAGTCATGGGACGCCACTTTTTTCGCTAAAATTTGGCAGAAAATGCGCGGCCAGACAGACAAACAAAGGTTTGGGATTGGGAGGGGGGGGGGGGGGGGGGGTAGCAATAAAAAGCATTTCATGCTTTAAAAAAAAAAGGTTGGGAGGCTACACTCGTTAAAATTGTAGCATCACATAAAAACACACAACCTTCTTAAGATATTAAAAAAAAAAAAAAAATTGTAAAGGTCATCTATTTCATGTGAACCTCGACTATGATTCCTAGAGGAGGACGTCTAGGACGACTTCTAGGATGACCTCAAGGACAATGCATAGAGGAAGACATCTAGGACGATCTCAAGGAGTTCTAGGACGATACGAAGAGATGATGACGAGGGATTTAGGACCTCACTATCTAATAATGTCAAGAAAGGCTGACTCACGTTGGTTGCCCTCTCTTTTTATTCTTATTTATTCATACTTGCCACAACCAATGGGGACTTTTCTGTTGACAAGTGAGGATGCATTTTCCCTCAAACCCTAGCCCAGTGGTTCTCAACCTTTGTTCTTTCACGGACCCCTAGTGGATCGGCGGAGGACCCCGTTCGTGGTGAGGGGAAGGGAAATGTGTAAGGTATGATAATGATTCAGTAAATAAATATAACTAAGGGCTAGTGTGAAGTAGACTTCTCCTTGTTGACACATTTACGACAAAACTCACCTGAAAATTGGTAAGTTTCTTTTCAATCTGGGAAAACACACCTTCTATTCCCGGCCTTAAGAGATGAGGCTGGACTTCGCGGACCCCTAAAATGCCTTCGCACCCCCAAAGGGCCCGCGGACCCCCATTTGAGAACCACTGCCCTAGCCCACAGCAGCTTTGCTAAAATGCGCAACCACTCGAAGGGCAACGACACCGCTGCATGGTTAGACGTCCCCAAGACAGGAGAAGGAATGCCGCCAGTCTTCATAGTGAAATATTTTATCTTTTGAGCCTGACAAGCTCACATGTCCATCACGTCACCTTCGAGTGGTAGTCAAATGAAGGCTACAGGTTTTGACACGTTGATGAAGCATTGTGCGAAGCAGAGCATGAAGTATGGTGCAGACTACAATTGCAAACAATGTGCACTTCCTGAGTGTGGTACTTACAATACAAGCTATTTTTTAAAAAATAACTTGTTTGTTGCCATTTTTGTGCCTCAAGACTAGTAGGATCTTCCCTAGCAGCACAGCCATTAGCAATTACCTGCATAGTCATTTTCTTCTCTTCCTGGCCGAATTCGGGCTTTGCACCATTCAAACCGATACAATCAATCGACCAAAGGCACAAAAAGTGCACGCAGGACATTAAAAAGAAGGAAGAAGACATGCACAGCCATACCGTCTGCAGCCCTTGGCAATGTCTAGCAAGCCTTCCGAAGTGAAGCCCTTGCTCATGGCCATGTTAAGGCACTCGAGGTCAGGGTTGCCTGCAAGGAGACTGCGAGAGACAGATGGTTTCGAACCGGAAGGAACAACATTTACTGTTTGTCGTTACGCAAAGGAGAGCCCACTCTGAGCTTTGCCTCTGTCAGGATGAAAGCCGGGGGCAACTATCGGATATTTGCAACAACCATTGGTTTGAAAACAAAAGAATGAACAAAAGGAGAATAAGTCTTTCAATTCACGACAACACAAGTTTTCACCAGAACGCCTCTGACTGTTACGACCTAGATGGGTATCGTACCAGTATGCAGTCGTGCAATGCTACTGTATGACGCACGTTAAAGACTATAGCCTAACAACGGCATTGCATCGGCTGAATTTCTCGCCTACAGCAGATGCACCAGACATTCGCTGGGGCTTGTTAACTTCCCGCACAACGCAATTATTACGGTTCATACAGTTCCATCTAAAAAACTCAAGTAGTACCAAAAATTGTGAACTTCAAACATGCCACACTTCTACAGCATGTAAACCGACACTTTCAAGGCAACCCAGATGGCTTGCAAAAGTCTGTGTCCTCAACATACCCTGCTGTGATTTACTACAGAGGTCAAGCAGGTGGCGGAAGCTTACAATGAAAAAAGTCAATGAATGAACTTACCTTGTTCAAAGAGGAAAAAAACCCAGACACCCTGTTCGGGCAATCTACGCTGCCACTTTGCAGACGATGCAAGCATTGCAGACGGATGGCGTTATGATAGCAGACGATCCCATAAAAGAACCCGAACCGTCTGGGACTCCCTCGATGCAGTGTACGCCATCTGTCGGCAGCACTTCTCGCTAAGCGTACATCGTCCGTGAAGTGGCGGCGTAGATTTCCCAGAACAGGATTCAGTTAATTTTGTTTTTCTTTTGAACCATACAAGTTAATTTTTCGATTTTTTTTTCTCTACAGACTTCGAACACCCGTTTGCACCCCTGTAGTAAATCGCAGCGCGATACATTGAGAAACCGACTTTTGCGGGCCGTCCAAAGCACTAAGAAAGCTTTAGTCTACATGCTGTAAATCAAGTCAGGAAAAAGAAGACAGTAAGTGAAAAGGAGGACAGGCATTCCCCTCTTCCTGCACAATGCAAGCAACATAGCAGTCACCACAGGACCCACGTAAGCTTGACTACACCCCTTAAAAAAAAGCCGCCGCTGGCTTTCTCGGCCTGACCTGCAGATTTGGTCGGTGAGGGTGCAGTGTTCCAGGCTGAGCTTCTTCAGCTGCGAGCAGGTCGACAGCAGCTGTGCCAGGGTATTGGTGGAAATCGACGCCATGCTCAGGTCCAGGTACTGCAGCTTGCTGAACCTGGCAGCCGCAAGGACCGGAATGGAAAGACGAAACAATGATGCCTTGGAATCGCTCGAAAGTGTGCCGCGACCTCCGACCCCCTTTCCAGGTCTGTGAAAGCCAGGCTCTCACACTGGGACTTTGAGTGTGATACCCTATGTTGGGAGAGCTTGCAACTGCCTACGACAAGAAAACACATGGGCACACCGGTGCCACACATGCTCGGTTTGCACCTAAGCCGAAGGTGCAGTGGGGGCTAGTATGTGCATGTTGGACCAGTCATACGTCTCTCTTTTGTCACATGATCCCTCATGTGGTCACACTCATGTGATCCTTGTGATCACATTTACTAAAGACCACAAGGAAGGCGGCAGACTGGTCCGGCGAGCGCGCAGCATCCATCCTAGTCGGCTTAAGGGGTGAACGGCGTATGGAAACACCTCCAATCTAAAGGGTGCTCCCGGGTGCCATCCGGGCGTAGAAAAAGTTGTAAGAATAAACCAATGGACGGAGTGCATTGAAACTTCTTGCAAAGGTGTCTTTAGGTGGTGCATTTTGTCACACTTAAATTTTATGACGGTAGGTATCAAGGAAAAAAGCGTCAGGCCTAAAAAAAATGAAAGCCGCTTACAACTCCCTGTAACGCCGAATTAGAGCGCAGCTCTTGAGGAGGAGGAGGCAAGGGCACTGGGGGGGGGGGCTTAAACTAACCAGGGGGGGGGTCACGTGACCTTGGCGGTCACGTGACCCCCAATGCCGATGTCATCACTGACGTCACTGATGACGTCATCAGTGACGATGACGATGCGGGTACCGATGACGTCATTAGTGACGTCACTGATGACTTCACCAGTGATGATGACGATGCGAATGTCGGTGACGTCATCAGTGACGTCGCTGATGACGTCATCAGTGATGATGACGATGACGATGCGAATGCCGGTGACGACATCAGTGATGATGACGATGTGGATGCCGGTGACGTCATCAGTGATGATGATGATGACGATGTGGATGCCGGTGACGTCATCAGTGATGATGACGATGACAATGCGGACGTCGGTAACGTCATCAGTGATGATGACGATGACGATGCGGATGCCGGTGACGTCATCAGTGATGATGACGATGACGATGTGGATGCCGGTGACGTCATCAGTGATGATGACGATGACGATGTGGATGCCCGTGACGTCATCAGTGATGATGACGATGACGATGTGGATGCCGGTGACGTCATCAGTGATGATGACGATGACGATGCGGATGCCGGTGACGTCATCAGTGATGATGACGATATGGATGCCGGTGACGTCATCAGTGATGATGATGATGACGATGTGGATGCCGGTGACGTCATCAGTGATGATGACGATGACGATGCGGATGCCGGTGACGTCATCAGTGATGATGACGATGACGATGTGGATGCCGGTGACGTCATCAGTGATGATGACGATGACGATGTGGATGCCGGTGACGTGATCAGTGACGATGACGTCATCGGGGGGTCACGCGACATCGGCGGGGGTCACGTGACCTCGAGGAGGGGCTCACGTGACCTCAGGGGAATCACGTGACCGGGGGGTCACGTGACCCCCATGAGGTCACGCGACCCCGGTGGGGGGCTCGCGCGGTGCATTATGGGACATTTCCCATGATGCACCGCGCGGTTACGCCGACGGCGACGCCGCTCAAGCCGGAAACGGGCCCCTAAGAGCTGCGCTCTAAAAAAAAAGTTATTTCCCATGTAGAAAAAGGAAGACAGCCACCACTCGCAGACTGTACCATATGTGCTTGGATCTCCTTGCCAGCGTCCACTTCAAAGTGCTCACATTTTTGCTTCATGTCACCCCATCTGTGAGTGACGGCGTCAACCAATAAAAAAAATTTCTTTATACACGATTGGCTTTCGAGAACACTTCTCCCATCGTAAGCGGTCACAAATGGGAACAATGTGCCCAGCCACACGCACGCACAAACCGTCTTTTGGAGAAATTTCCAAAGCTCGGGGCAAGACGTGGCACCTACCTGCTGTCGACGGGATGGCAGAGTGGAGTGTCGCCATCAAACAGTGGCCCCTTCACCTGCGCACGTTAAGGAGAGAATGTGGATAAACGAGGGCTAGCAACCGAGCTGCAAATTCGAGCGTTCGGTCCTGATTTGCAGCCACCACAAAGCACTGAAGAACGAGCAAATGCGAGAAAAAGAAAAATTATGCACGGAACGTGCGATGGAACCTCCGGGGAAGAGGAAAAGGGTGCCAAAAAAGCACAGCCTACCGAAGAGTCGCTCTCATTTCTGAGATGGTGTAGCGTGATGGGAAAGGCCAGAAAGCACGCACGCGACCACACCAGTGAGCTTCTTCTTGCGTGCTAGCAGCTTCCGATTCTGGATAGCTCGGCAGGCAAAGCGCTCGACCCACTATCTCAAGGCGGGAAGTTCAAATTCTGCCGGTGATTTCGGTTTTTTTGTACGAATCGCTGTGGGTATAACGCTTCTCGTATACAACTTTTCGTTAAAAGCCCGCTGCTACAGAAGTCCATGAAAATTGATTGACAAAACGCATTCTGCGTTAAAAAAAAAGGATCCGGGGATTGAGGTGCACCCAGAAAAAATGCTCTCTCTAAAGCGCCGTTGTGCATGCGTGCAAAAAAAGGTCACTGAAGGCATAGGGATGGCTGAACGGCCGCCCAAGTTTTTTGTGTTGTCGAGCCCCTCGTCACTGCGCACCACAAAGCCGCTAATTGGGCTACCCCTATTTAGTGTATTTAACACTTCAGCCATCTTGGTGCTTGAAGTCATTGTTTCCAGTCATCCAAAACTACCTGAAATCGGAGGGAAAGTTGTCCTGTCCTCTGGAAATGTCAGAAACAGCCCGTAACCCAGGAAAACAATATCGCCCGGTTTCTCGACGCCGGATCTAAGGCTCAAGAAGCAGCGCTTTCCGAGCTTTAGACACTCTAGTACAAGGACCCAGTTTGAGGAACCATACTCTAAGCGTGCCGTATGTAGTGGCCGTAGGTCATGCAAACCTCACAATAATATGCCGGGCCGGTACTTGTTTTATAAATTAAACCCGTATTGTATCGCACCACAACAAAACCCCAACGCCCGCAAGGAACTTGGGGAACGAAGTGCCGATACTTCAAGCGCAGCTCGTTTGGCGGGTCCAGCGTGTCAGAAGACGACTGGCGGCTTACCTCGGACATGGCCAACCTGAGAACGACCACGCCGCGGCTCAGCACGAGCCTGAGGACGCCGGGATTTAGGTACCTCTTGGCCAGGTCCAGTCTCCGCCAGAGGCTTTCGTCAAACCTGCGGGCGGTCAGCGTAGTGGACGACTTCTTCAGGAGCACTCAAAGCCGCGCATGCGTGTGACTGCGTCGCCGATGATGCGGCATGTCACTTTTGTTTTCGCGAGTCAGGTCACGTTGTAACGTAGGAACAGTGTACACCCGGTGAGGTGGTTATGTGCGGTTAGTGCAACATGCAAAGTGAGCAAAACTATTAATGTGTCCTGTCCAATCGCCCTTGCTTCCAAAGGTGCTAGCCAGGGGCATCGATAACGAGCAACTCTCGACAAGCCCCCCAGTAAGTGTACGAGACGCGCGTATTGAAATCCCGTTCTTTGACTCAAACACGGTACAAATATTGAGGCTTCCAGGACCAGTTTGGCTGTCAATCAATAAGACTCTTCTGGCACAAAATGCTACTGAGCCAAACTGAGTTATATATCACATTCTTTTAGTACACACGCGACTCCATAAATATGTGTGGTACTAGAACTGGTTTTAAAGGCCACTACTAGAAACGTAGCCAATTACACAATCAAAGATGACAGTGTGGCCTCCCAGTAAAAGGCCAGCTGGGCTCATTTATCCTAGATGTATTTATTAACTAACGGATACTTCCTGCTGAGAAGATGCGCAACGTGTAAGAATTCATGACGGGTTGTTGGGGTCTGTACTAAGAGATAAATGTTCACAGACAGGCATTTACCTTACAAGAGCCCAGACTCGTTTGAAATTTAAAATTTATCAGAAATACTCTGCCTCTCGAGATTGTGATGACTAAAGAAAATCTCTGTATATTTCACGTTTGTCTTTTAAAAATTACCGACTGACAGTAATCCTCTCAATCTTCTTTCCGACGTCGGGTAATTGACTAGTGTCCGTTCAGGACACCTGCGTAACATTACTGCATTTCTGGGCGAGGACAGAAATCAGTGAAGTATGGAAATGTACAAGACTAGTATTACTGTTTTAAGTATACACTGTCTCGGCCTCTTACAGGGAGGATGACACACTGTTTCAGCATCGGTGAACCTTACGACCCCACAAAAAACTAAGTAGATACTATGCACAATTATATAGTTTGATGTGCTTATTTTATATGCTTTTCTGTTTGGATATTTCTTTCTATTCCCGATTTTGACATGTTAGGACGTCAAAATGAAGCTCCAATAAACGGTGAATGTCATTAAAGTAATCCCCGACTAACCCCGGATTTTTTCCAACAAAAAATGAGGAAAAAAGGAACTTTATTATTTCAGCAAAGTAACTCTGAAAACATGAAACCCCATTCATGACAAAAAAGCCATGGGCAACCTATGTCTCACATTAAGTAAAAAATATATTGCAGCACGAAAGCCACAATTAACAGAAGTAGTCCCCTTAGTTACTAGTACCCGGGAGTAGCCCAGGGCATGCACAAATATAAAACAAAGAGTTTAAGATAAAAACACTATCATTTCATGCCTACCAGGTCTCATTTGATTAATAAAACCAAGCAAAAAAGCGAAAAGGCCTGCAAAGGAAAAAAGTTCCTCTTGGGGAAGTTCTCATGCCGGCAACGTGTCGACCCCAGAGCAACGGGTGGTGCAAGCACTCACGCCAGGTGGGACCACCGCCTGCAGACTCGGCCACAGCTGGCAAGCACCGGCTTGGGGAGCCACTTGAAGATGTCCAGGATCGTTTCGTCCGAGAGCTTCATGAAGAGATCTAAAACAAAACAGAAAAAAGATTTCTTACAAAAAGAAGAATGGAAAGAGACAAACAGGGGCATGTGCGGAGTTCAAGATTGGGTTTCACCATGTTCCTGCACTTCTATTGCTAAAGCATTAAAAAATCTTCACTGTCGTGCTAAAACTTTTTTTCTTTTTTTCAGTAATTATATTGTACATTATTACCGTAATATCCCAAGTCATTGCCCATCCCCCTGCTCCTTGAAATTCATAAAAGCTGGAGTGGGCCATGTCTCAGTGGTAAGCACAAAAAATTTAAAAAAGGCAAAAAAAAAAAATTACAACAAAAAAAAGAAAACGCCCATTTCACTATGTATTTGCATGGCTGCAAAGGAGATACACTAAACTCAAAACTCTAGTTAGTTTTTTGCTTAATACAAGAAATCCTCATGAAAGGATGTTTGATTATCGCGAAGTCCGTTGCCTGCGGCTTGCATGTGCATGATGAAGACTGTTGAATGTTTGTTCCGTGAAAGCATGTTTCCTAAAACAGCCATGTTCTCTTCGTTACTTGGCATCGGACGAGATCAGGTGTCTTGTCAATCACAAGTAGCGTGCTCTTGCGCAACTTTCTTGTTTGTTGCATACATGCGTGCTATCAACGTGGGTTGAGGCGGCGTTGCTGCGTGACGGGGACGGCACCATGAACACGGACTCGAAATGGGACGCTTTGCATGTGTGCAGCGTTCCAGCAAATCTTTACCAGTTGGCTTTGTCTCAAACATTGAACAAGCTTACCAACTGCGGTCACAACGGGGTCTGGGACAATGATAATTTGCGCTGACCTTATTTCGATGGATACGGACTTTGACCTTACACTCCGCAGTTACATTCCAGGGTATAAGGCGTGTGAAGCGCGGTAAAGTTACCCCTCGTGCAGCAAGCACAAGGCAGGCGGTGTGAGAACGCGGGCGACATTCTAAATATCCGCATCTTCCAATAACCAGCCTTGTGTTGTATCCGGACTAGAAACTGATCATTTCCAGTCTAGAAACTCTAGAAACTGATCGTTATAAGCGGTACATCGTTACATGTGGTATCGTTATAAATGGGTTGCACCGTTTTGCTTGAACTCTGAGAGCACTCTAGTTTGGGGCAGGGACAGTCGAAGAGAATTGGGAGTCTGGAGAACCTTGGAGGGCACTTTGAGCAACTCATGGGTTATTAAAGACCCCGGTTTGAGAACCCATGATCTTGACGTCTTTCCAAACTAGAGTTAGGTGATGAGAATCATCCCCGTAGAGAGCAAGTGCCACTTACCGTTTCCAGCGTCCACTTCCTGCTTGTTACGCTTGTGAAGAACAAACTCATTGTAGAACGCTTGCAAAGGCACGTTTCGGCCACTCCTCACCGCCTGTAAGACCACAAAGGCAGACACTTTTAGGATTGTGGCGACAATTATGTGCAAATTCAATTGGTTAGAGGAATGTGCTGCCGACGGCAAGGTTTTGCAAGGGCACAAACTTTGTGCAGGGTGCCTACAAAATCCATCGCTTTCCAATTCTATATTTTTCCCAGACCGTCGCAGAGCCTCTGCACAATCGCCCGTGAAGTCCTACGATTCTTTCAAGGTGATCTACAAATTTTCTCTACAGTTTCAAGTTTGCCGTAAAACTGGATTACATCACCGACAGAATAGGAATTCAGTACGAGCTCTGGCTCCAGCGTGAGCTACTCAACTTCAATGACGCCTCAGCGTCTTGCAGAGCCAGCTTAGCCAATGCATGACGGAAGGCAAGGAGTGCCTTCCGCAAAGCTGGGAATACTTCCTGAGCCTGTTACCGCTTATAGAAGGTATTCACCGGACGCCAAATTTAAACGCGCTCTTCACACCCCATACTCAGAATTTTTTTTTTATTTTTTTTTTATTTACAAGATACTACAAGCCAGTAATCCGGCCCAAGCAGGAGTGGATGCGGTTTCTCTTCACATGATATCTAGAATTTATACATCAAAAGACATAAATTCTAACACATAAACAACATAAAACACAAATTACACTTCAAAAAACTGTTCAAATGATCATAGAACATTGTACAAAGTAAAAATATGGGGAGGCAAGGAGTTCCAATCTGTTACACTTTTGGAGAAAATAGGGTATTCAAAAGCATTTGTGCGAGCAAATATGGGAGTTATTTTTTGTGTATGGTTATGTCTAGTCTGTCTAGTAGATGATGGCTGAATATAGGATGAAGACTCAAGTCAAAGTTTGTGATACCAAAGCTGAAAAATGGATTTTAATCCAGCTAGCTTTCTGCTGGATTCTAGAGGAATAATGTTGCTAATTCTAATTATTCGGTAGGAAGTCATGTTGGCGATAACAATTCTATATAAAACGAACTGCTAGTCTCTGGACCTGTTCAAGCCTGTTAATGTCTTTCTTCGAATGAGCTCACACCTACGGGCTGCTATGACCGGCTACATTAACAGCGTGGAATTCACGCTGTCAATGTTGCTGTATGGCTGAATGAGGGAAAACAATACTTAGAAGAACAGGAAGAAAATACGCTGAAGAAAGAAAAAAGGAATGCGGAAATTATTAAGCAGAGGACGCTACGGAATTACAGTAGATATGAAGTTGTTCAGGAAATATGGAAAGGAGTCATGGTACCGGGGTTGTCTTTTAACAATGTGGTATCATGCATGAATACACTATATGAGACAGTGCAGGAAGACATGGGCTGGGCATTTTTTGAGGCTAGAGAGGCAATCAGCACGTTGAAATTTGAGCAAAGACTGGACATAATTGAGGATACACGATGGCCGAGAAAGGTATATATGCATCTCTACACGAAAAGTTTGAACACTAAAAAGACAAACTGAACCTGAAAACTAAAATACTAACAGTCAAGTGTGGATGGAAAGGGTAAAGGCCCGTTCACACTCTTGCAACGGAGTACGACCGAGAGAGACTAGACCTGTTGAAACCTCTTAAAATTTCTTAGGACGAGGGAACACACTGGCATTCTGGCGCCATCTATGCGGTGACCCTGGAACTGCGTTTCACAAGAGCGAAGGTTTTGCAAGATTTCCGAGGTGCAATGTGAGTATAAAAAGGCTCGTTTATAACATTGACAAGAGGTTTTCGAGCGAAGAAAGAAAGGATAATGCAGTAGAGAAATAGAAAATACGCCGGACCGCCAAGTTTACACTGCTACCCAATAGATGGCACCAATGTGTTCTCTCGTTGTAAGATGTTTTAAGACACCCAGTTCTAAGAGGTCGCAAGAGTGTGAACGGGCCTTAAGAAAAGAAGTCGAGGGAAAGGTCAGGAAGGAAAGAATGAAGGAAAAAATAGAGGGCAAAAACAAGAAATAAGTTAGGAACATTGGTATGATAACTCGCGGGGCAGCTCATTGTTATTCGAGGCTAGAACAGGAGTGTTGAGGTCTAGGACATATAGGACAAAGTATGAGAAAATCGATATGTAGTGTGATGTATGCCAAGGGGAAGGAGAGACTTTAGAACATGGTGTTGAGGTGCACAGGGCTTGCACCCCCCCCCCCCCCCCCCATGTGGCCGGAGCACTGGGGAGATTAAAAGAATGGATCATAAGTGCATTTTAATAACAAAGAGGAGATTGGAAGACAGCTAAAAATTATCTAGGAAGAATCGAATGATGCACAACTAGGGTAGGTGGCGCAAACTACCGCCCGATATAAAAGGTACAGCCGTTAGCATCTATCCATCCAAATTGCAAAAAGCACCGCAGAAGCTCGTCGTCAGCTCGTGCTCGGCAGTATAAAAAACTGGGCAATGGCTTCCAGTGAATACTGCCATACACCCTTCCAACACTCATCGCCCAAGCCAAAGATGCCCATTCACCGAGCAGTGGACGGTACTCTGCAGAAGGACGCTACTCTGCACGCTTACAATGCGTTCCACAGTCCTGGAGACAAAAATGGTAGCGCACAGAAGGCAGTTAGTGGAATTGTTCATATAGTCATCATTGTTTCAGAATGTTTGCGCACACCTAGATCCCGTAAACACTGCCGGTGCCACATCTAAAAAAAAGTCTGGGTTTTCTTTACATCCATATGTGAAAGAACACTAATTTACTCCAACTCTTCCTAGCCATACATGTCCAAATGTCTGAAGGCTGTAGTCAACAGTTGGCTTATATCAAACTATTGTAATGTTCTACTGGGTCCTGCCATGGGATGTGCTGCAACCATACAAATATTCAAGAGACATGGTTTCATCTCCTGAGTGGCCAACTAGAACACCATAACTCCCATTACCTGAGCTACAATGCAGCAAGCACCATGCCACCCCTCAGGATGCCATAATAGAGGCACTTAGAATTGGTTCTAAGTTTGACGCTTTCTAACCGACTGCCGTTTCCGTCGCGAAAATGCGTCGAGACAGCAGTACCTCTTATGGTAAGAACGCCATTATATTCCAAAAGAGAACTATGCACATCTTTTCTCACTCCATTGTCCTATCTCGCGAGTTCGGGCTGCGTGCGGCAGTCCTGGAACAAAGGTACATCCTAACACAATAAAATACGATACCTTGGCATGTTTTGACATGTACTTTCGCAACCTATCCAGCTCATCTGGACTGGGCTTGAGCTCCGCCGCAAAATCGCTCGACATTCGTTTCATGTTCACCGACAAAAAGCAAGCTGTGACCGCGCGCGCATCTGCCACAAATCGAAGACACAAATGAGACAATAGGCCAATCAACAGCATACAAAAAAAAAAAAAGAAGAAAAAGCTGCCCAATCAAAATTGATTACGGAGGGAGGTCGAACAAGTCCAAATACTCAGGTGTTTTATATGCTCCTTCTCTTTTAATTATATATATGGAAAAATAAAACACTAAATAAGCTTCAAATAAGATTTAAGTATTATATTTCGGTGTCGTGTTTACCATATTACTACGCTAAGTTCCAGCGGTAGCAAAGTTAACGAAAGGGTTAGTTTGGTCAAAGATGGCTTCAGTCTGTTACATTGTCAGTTACCGCGCTGTTTTAGCCCTACATGCACCACGGTACCTGTCTAAGAATATCACGTAATCTCCTCGTCCCTGCAACCAGTAACTAATCGAAATAGTCCGGAATCGCTTACCTGTACGGTGGACGGCTGAGGCGGGATCGGTGGTACGCGCCAGGCGTTTGGCACGGAGACAGGGGTTCGATCTCGTCGGTCTTGCGAGCACGGACCGTCCAAGTACTGAACACCCATCTCTTCGAGAATGTCCCCGCGGACTTGCTGAGCTGACGTAGCGTCCCAGTTTTCGTCGGAGGAAGCGTCCTCGTCGTCGAAGTAACCCGACAGGATCGACGTCGACTTGGCGCCTTTCAGGTCGTCGACTCTAATCTCCGTGGTGCATTTTTTCTTTCTGGGCGGCAGATTTGCTTTCGTGGCATCTTCGAGCGGTCTCCTGAGGTGCAAGCGCGAACAGAGAGATGGATAAATACGAGACCGCAAAACCTGCACGAATAAACGCGAGCAAGAGACAGTGAACGTATTTGTGGGGCACATTCGCGTAGACAAAGGGTGACACCCGTCTACACGGAAGGCTCGATTGAACTATACGGTGCTTGCAAGCAGGTTAGGTTTTAATCTGTTTATAATCCTACCCAAAACTGAGTTCTTTCGCTTACAATAAATACGAAGAAAACAAGCTCGATGTCTTGATTAATGATGCGGGTAATACGAGTTTGCCACGGTACCAACGGAGCGATCGTGGTATGTGTCCGTTTCATTACAAACGTCTAAAAAATGTTGACGGTGCTTACGCTCGTGTTAAAAGAAGTTGAAGGCCGAGTTCGTCTGAGATGAGTGATCTAAATTAAAGACAGATCGGTGAATAATTACCTTTCCATGCTGGTGCGATTGCAGAGAGAGGTGTTACGTATGCACACAGCCGACCCAGCCACCCAGCGATCACCGCCTTTTTTATGTTTGCCGCGTTCCGTTCGTTATTCGCGTTTTTTTGACTAATCGAACCTCCTGCAAAGATTGTGACCAATCGACTGCGCGTACTTCTAAAATATCCGGTTCCGGTGCGTTTGCATCTTACCAATTATTTCAATTTAAATTCGCTAACTTGTTTTTTATGACGTCACAAAACTTATTTGTTTAAAATTTTTTTATTATTAAACACATTTTTAATTTTATAAAATTAAAACAGAAGAAATAAAACCATAATTGTGCTTCTTTTTTAAAAATTGTTGTATAACCCGTAACTAAGTATGACGTCACAAGTGACGATGGGCCATACACGCCAACAACAGAGCACACACTACCGGGTAGGTGCCTCTTCCGCTTCCTGTTATATCCAGAAAAACGTGCACGGTGTGCAGGGAAGCACGGAATAGCTTCTAGAAATGTCCGTGCTACAGCGTACAATGTAAAATTAATGCACATTTCATTCACGTGATACCAGATCACAATCGTGCCTTTCTTTTAAGTGCTCGAGCTTCAAGCGTACCCGCCTAGCCACTTATTCAAAGTAAGTAATAAAGCACGGTTTCTCAGACGCGGAGTGCGCGAAGCTCTTTCGTTATTCTAACATGTTTCCTTTCAAATTTAACTAAGATAATTTGCCCCCACACGTTGTACCTAATTAATCCGAGTCTTCCAAGCTCGGCGGTAAAATATAAAACCTACAGCGATCCGCAGCTGCGAGTAATCGAAGTGTCACCTTCACGATCTTTCGAGACGAGCCGGAGTTGATCGTCACCTTCCAAACTTCGTTTTTTCACCCCTGAGCAGGCTCAAAATGGGGCTATCGGCGTCAAAGCCAAGAGAAGTGAGCGGACCTCTCGGTACGGTGACGGTCTACACAAAAACCGGCGAGGAAGAGAAGAAGCCGCCGTCCGAATGTCCCATGCACGGAGTCTGCGACGAGATCACCGGCGCGTCCGCGACCAAGAAGCCGGAAACCTATCTCAGCGAGTGTCCTATGAGAGCCGGTGAAGAGCAGATCAACCCGAGCAACATGGTGAGTGGAGTGGTTCGGTATTTGACTCGCATCAAATGTTGGCAGGACAAGTGCCTCCCACCAATTGCTTTCTGCTCGCCATGATTGGTGGTTTTCTGCTGGCGGCGTTGTGACCTGTCGTCTGCTGCTGTACTAATTTCCATTTGCCCCCAAGTTAGCAAGGCTGTGGAAGCTATGAGCTTGTTGGACCAGTCGTATATCTAGCTTTCGTCGCATAGTCATGCTCTCACCCATACCTACGTGCAGAGAGCAGGGTCAAGTGATGAGAAGGAGGTGGTTGACTGATCTAGTGAGTTCGTAGCTCCCACCACCATCCTGTCTGCTTAAAGGTGAACGGAGTATAGTACTACATTACTATGTCTTTGCAGCTGAAATTAAAAACACTGGCTAGGTAGCACATGTTACCATCCAATTCGAATTGTTTAGCCACTCTTATCCATTCATCTGCACTCCGTCGTCTGCTAAAGCGCTGGGTACTTTTTGTAGTCTGCTGAGGCTGACAAGGCTAATAGTTTGAGCAGCACTCCGTGTGACATTCCTGCCAGTATCAGCTGTAGTTCAAGAATACTTAAAGGGCAACTCCGCTCAATTCCGAAAAATTTAGGCTTACATGTGATTCAAATTCACAAAGCGCTACTAAACAACTCTATGTCTTCGGATTCGCGAAATGTGGAATATTATTTGTGTAATCCTAATTTAAATATCAGCTGATACCGAAACCGAAACTTCGGTTGCGTCAGGCAACATTGGTCTCGGGTCGTCAGAGTCATGGCCACATCACGTCGAACCACGTGGTCCTGTGACGTTCGGGAGGGAGCGAGGAACAGGACACGCGACGCAGGCAGGTCGCTTTGCATGGCGTGCACGGTGATGGCCCGGAGGAGAAGGGGAAGGGGAGAAGACGAAAGGAGAAGGGGAGTGGAGGAACAGACCGATAAGCGCGTAGAGCAGGGCAAACTAGCACATCTGCGTTACGGTGAGCACGTGAACGCCCGGTCAACCAACACTGGAAGGAGAAACTCATGACATCATCGTTCAATTTCGCTCTGAGAAGTAAAAACAAACAAAACGTGAGAATGACGTAGTCATGCCTCTGACGTAGTGGCTCAATGTCGGCTGCTCCAACTCCGTGGCATTGATTGCGCCTCGCGCCGCACGCTGGAGTTGGCAGATTTCGGCGACTTGGCTCGCTTGAAGGTTTTCTGGCCAGTTTATTAAATATATAAATGGAATTAGATCGTAATATTTGACATGGGGTCTTCTTATATGATATTGAAGAGGGCTACATAGTTTTCTAAATATCAAAAATGAAGCGGAGTTGCCCTTTAATATGCAGACAGTGCCATACCGGTGCCTACTTATGAAGACACAGTGTACAAAAGAAAAAGGGACCGATCCGACCAGCCCAAACGGGCAAACAGCATCTTTCTCCATCTGCCTCAGTAAATGTTCCTAGGCTAGGTGGCACAAGCTACCATCCAATACGAAGGGTATAGCCACTATCATCCGTCCATTCACCCGCCCTCAGATGCCGAGCCCGAACCAGAAGCCTGCTCCGGACCAGCCCTTCCCGCTGCCGACCGAGCGCCAGATGTCGCGTATTCCGAAGGCGGACGGCAAAGACGGTGAGGTGTGGGAGTACCCGTCGCAGCAGATGTTCTGGAATGCCATGCTGCGCAAGGGCTGGCGCTGGCGGGAGGCGGACCTCGCGCCAGAGGACATGGCCCACATCATCCGCATCCACAACTCCAACAACGAGATGGCCTGGGAAGAGGTGCTCAAGTGGGAGGCCCTGCACGCCAAGTGAGTCCCAGAGTGCGGTTGAGCTTTCCCAAGAAAGTGGGATGCTGTGATCGGCCTTGAAGCGCGAGCTTGTTATTTTGGAAAATACTGCATGCTAAGTGAGTGCCAGGGCATAGTCGAGCTGTTCTGACGAATGGGAGGCCGTGGTTGGCTGAAGCCTTGAAATACGAGCACATCGTTCTGGAAAGGCACCGCATGCCAAGTGAGTGTCAGGGTGCAGTCAACCTCTTATGAGAAGTGGGAGGCCATGATTGATTGAAGCTTTGTAGTGCAAGCACATTGCTCTGGAAGTTTTGTCTGCTGTGACGACCGATGCACCTACCAGAGCTGCGCGCATGGCTAATGTCCTGTAGCTCAGAACATGTGGGGTCGAAAGCTTGCGCTGCAGAACCCAGGGATCCCGGGTTCAATCCTCACCCCTGCCCGTTTCGATCTGGACGAGCATCGTACCGGCATGCGGTCGCATATCGCTACTGCGTGGTGCACGTCAAAGACACCAGGCTAGCAGAGGTACTTTGCTGGCTTAATTTGTCATCTACAGTGTCATACGCCCATTGGGCCCGACTTACTTCCCGCATACTAAACATACGCACCACAAAATTACTGTTCATGTTCTGGTTTGTGTGTTACAGATGTTGCAACATATGATCTACAGGAGAGGATGCTCATTCCACAAAAAGTAAAGCTCTGCCCAGAGTCAGCAAATAATGAGATGTGTTACGATAATGAAAGAAGGACATGGAAGACAAGCAGACGATGTGAAAGTCTGTGTCATCTGTTTGTTTTCCTAGTTACTGTAGAAAAATGCGATCCCCCACCCCCCCTCCCCAGTCCTCATTTAGATACGGCTTCAGAAAATTAAGGTGATGTCATCTTGTTCTTTCACAGATTGTTTTATGATTTTTACAGAACGGGAAGCCATTTCCTGTGACTTGGGATGAAAGGTCAGATGACCGGCAGGAATGATGTCATCGACAAGCTGGCTTAAGTGTCCTTACCCTGAGTCATGCCTTATTTAGTAGCTGAGAAGCATCATCCATTTGACAATTATATAATATACATATATATATATATACATATATAGATATACAAGGTGTTTTTTTTTCAGCTGCTCAAAATTTTCAAAAAAAGGGAACGTGAGATAGAGTAATTTGAGCCCTGGGGAAGTGTTAGTGGCTATGGCAGCCTCTACAAAAAAGGGGAAATTAGGTAATTAGTTAGCTAATTAACTAAAATGTTTCAATTACCTTTTTAATTTTTCACTTGAGGGCACCTAATGCATGTACAGGATTGAAGATCGGCCACAGTATTGTCTAGCCGTGTTGTCCAATTTGGATAAAAAAATTCCTAGTTGGCGCTATAAGGGTCGAGAAATGTCACTTTGGTAAATGGCGTCAAACCGAAACTAAACAGGAAAGGGTGCCAGTAGAGTTATCGCTCCGCCCTTCCGGGCCTGTTATTCGTCATTATCACGGCCAGTTCCACTTGCTTAGGCGAGCCGGCCGCAATAATGACGAATTGCGTGCCCGGAAGGGCGCAGCGATAACTTTACCGGCACTCTTTCCTGTTTAGTTTCGGTTTGACGCCATTTACCAAAGTGACATTTCTCGACCCCGTAGCGCCTACGAGGAATTTTTTTATCCAAATTGGACGACACGGCTAGACCATTCTCTGTGGCCGATCTTCAATCCTCTATATACATTGTTTGCCCTCAAGTGAAAAATTAAAAAGTTACTTAAAACATTTTAGTTAATTAGCTAATTACCTAATTTCAACTTTTTTCTAGAGGCCGCCATGGCCATTAACACTTCCCCAGGGCTCAAATTACTCTATCTCACGTTCCTTTTTTTGAAAATTTGGTGCAGCTAAAAAAAAAACACCCTGTATATCTATATAATGTTTATTTTTAAACAACTCTATGCTGTTATAGGAGGGCACATTTCACAGTGTTCTATTCTGTGACACCAGAAAAACGGTGCGTTTACATTGGGTAGGACATTTTCTTCCGGGGATTTGTTGCAGAACTTCTCCTACAAATCTTTTGTTGCAACACACTCCAGTTGTTGTTTCTGCTAACACTTCGCACTTGCTCAAAAAGGGAATCGGTGGAAGACATGTATGGTTAGGTCATGATCTATATTTTGTCAGTCTTGGACTGGTTCACTCATAACTAATCGTGAGATTGGGAGATATTTTGAGGAGTTTGGCTTGATTTGTTTAAGGTATTTTTTTAAATATGCCTTGAACTGCCTTTTGGTACGAACCAAGGCATGTTATTTCTTAACTGTTGTCGAAGTCGAAGACAATGTTGCAAAACGCCACCATAGTGGCCGTGGTGAAAGGAGGCCAGCAGGCTCAGCGTTTCTTTTCAGGGGATGTTTTCCGCTGTTCTAATGTAATGGGGTTAATTTCTTTCTGATTGCCATGAAAGGCATCATTCATGGTTGCTAATATCGCATGTTAAAAAGGAGTGTCTTTTGGAACCTTTCTTGATTTCCAAATATGCATTTGGGAAGAAAGACGGGAGAAGGGGGTTTTTGAGAAAGGTGGAAGCTCATATTTGAAAGCCGACTTTATGCCTGGAAATGTTTTATATATTATTAATACATGTTTTTTTTTTTTCATTTTTGTTTTTAAATTTGAACATGTGCTTTTTGGGGTGTCAATTCTTTTGGAGACGTCTCATTTCTGTTTAAATATAAGTTCAGTTTACTAAACTGTCAATCACTAACCCCAAACAAAGCCAAATTTGGAATTATTTTCATGTTTCTAGATAAAAAAAACCACAGCCTAGACATATTCCAGACAGCATAGGTACATTTGGGGGTAGAATGTTTCTTTCAATGAGTGGTGAATGGACCTTATTCTACTGCTTTGAGATCCAAAAAGTATCTGGAAAGTAGCATGCGCTGTCCGGTGCTCGCTTCTGTGTCACCAACTAGCGTTTTTTTTTTTGTTTCGTTTTTTCTTTGTTCTTCAGGGAGTGCTGTTCTCCAAAGCTGAAGAAGTTTGGCGGAAAAGCGACGGACTACTCCCCAAGGGCTCGGATACGCCACTGGCTCGGGTATGAATCGCACTTCCCTCTGCCTCCTGTTGTGACCTGTGTAAAACACAAGTTGTCTCACTATTTCTAAAGCAATAAACAACAAGAAATGGTAACATAGCTTGACACGTGTGCAAGCTGTCATGCTTGAAGAGATACTTTGACTACCATGGGTGGGAAATGCAGTAAGGAGTTTGTTGGGGCACCAGCCTGGGAGTGGTGGGCACGTCTTACCAGGCTAGGGGGCACAAGCCACCGCCCGATACAAAGGGCTAAGTTAACTGCGTCCATGCATCCATCCACCCGGCTTGACCATCAGATGGTTCACACCTGCCAGCAGCAAGATGGCGGTGCCCAGGGGCCGTGCTTGCAAGCATCTATCTAGTTCTTAATGTGGGTGTTTCTCTCTCATTTGTGAAAAAAGTAGGTCTAACTACCGTTTTTTTGACCGAGAAATCTCGAATATCGGCGTGGTTATAAAAGTGTTTTCCAACAGGTTCATGGTCACATACCATACTTTTTTTTTTTCAGAAATGTTGTCAAAAATGAATGTTATAATTATGACCAGAAAATTTCGACCTACATTCGTCACCAAATTTCGGGACCCTACCAAGTGCGTAGAGTTATCGAGTCGCTGAGTTGACGTCGCCGCCGTAGCGCCGCACTGCTTCTTGTTTCAGAAAGCTTTTGGTGCACGAAAAGAACTGAAACAGCAGCAAGGAGGGGGACCATGGCCATTCCTCACGTGCATTCTTTGGGCGTCAGGTTTTGCCGACCACACGCCACATGCACGCCACCTACCTTGCCCCAATCAGAGCCGTATATCGAGAGAGGATGACCATTCATTGGGAAGAATAGGAGGCTTATGAGGAGGCGCCATTGGCCGAAAGCGGGCTGGGCGTGTTTCAGGGCGTCTTCACTAATTTGAATGTGGCCAACCAGAAGCAGGAGATGATACGTTGGCGGTGGTCATGAGAAACAAAATTAATAAATGTGTCGGAGTAACTCTTGCTGACTGAAAATATGGCGCAAGTGATGTTTCAATCACAGTCATCCAAAATCATGGTGGAAAAGCGCAACTAGTGGAACGATCGACATAATCCATACGCCAGGTGCCGAGGGCCAGGAATCTGCCTTCCGAGCGGTCGCACTATGTCCGAGCAAAAGAGAGTTTGAGCGACACATTCGTTTCTTACATTGTTTTTCACAATCATAATCGAAAGATCATGTGCACCATATTTTCAACCATGAAGAGTTGCTACATTTAATCCTTATGCTCTTATTAATACTGTTTCTCACTACCACTGCCAGGGGATTTTTTTCGGCGTCTGGTTGGCCAAGAGAGCATGCCAAGCCCTCTATCTGCGTTTGGTGTACGCCCTGGCTCTGCCCGCTCCTCCCATTGACCAAACTCTCTCTATACCCGGCTCTGGCCCCACTGCCTTGCCCCGTCTCTTCCCCTCTCCCCCCCATGGACGCGCAGGAAAACAAAATACGGAGGTTACTTTCACTTCTTGTTGGTCACCAAGGCTGGCTCGTAGCGGCTGCAAATTGCTCGCGTCTATGTATGTGACCTTTTGTCGCTTAGCCCCATCTTCACCTTTTGTTTCTATTTTGCAACGGTGTCAGTGAGGTATTGTTGCGAATTTTCAGGATGTCGACTAAGCTGACGAAGCTTCCGTGGACGATGACATTTCTGGAAGTTTTGACGATGATTGAGTTTTTGGCATCACGCTGCGTTTTAGCCGAGTGTGCTGTAAATAAAAATTTCTTTCTTTTGCCCAAACTTTCTTGTGTTTTTTAAAAATAAAAAAATAAAAAAAGTTGACCTATATTATATTATTTCTATTCTTTTATTCTCGGCGAATTTAAAATAAAGGCATCGACCTATATTCGTGGTCGACTTAAATTTGAGTCGATATAGTACACCTCGAGACTTCATTACTCAGGGAGATGGGAGATACTTGACAGAAAGAGAGAGGGAGTGGCGCAGTAGTTCGCCTGTCCTCTTCCACTCACCCGCGTTTCCCCCAATTGCCTCTGTCGTCTGCTACAGTCAGTTCTGTGCCTACCATTCCCGTCAGTCTTTGCGGCGCCATGAATGGCGCTGCACATTTTGCAACAGGTCTATTCGGTGGATCATAAGCCTGCTCGGGATTCAGCTTGACTCCCAAGCTCAGAAACGCTCATGAACAAGCGCTAGGCGCACCTCGTAGCACGCTGCAGATTCTCTGTCTCCCGACTCTATCCTTAGGGTTCAGATAGACTCGTTTGTTCTAAACGTTATTGTCTGCCTCCTAGGTACGAGCTTCCGTTCGACCGTCACGACTGGATCGTGGACCGGTGCGGCAAGGAGGTGCGCTACGTCATTGACTACTACGACGGCGGCCCCGTGAGCGTGGACTCCGGCCGCTTCGCCCTGCTGGACGTCCGGCCAGCCTTCGACTCCTTTGAGAACGTCTGGGACCGAATGAAGGTCACCTGGTGGCGCTGGACACTGCAGTGGAGAGGCCACCCCGAGTCGTCGGGAACGTCCGAGGCGCCTCAGGCTCCTGAAAGCGCACCCACGAATCGATAGGACAGTCCGTCGGCTCTTCGTCAGTCTACCCCTCCCTTACCCCATTGTCGGTTTCGCCCTTTCCCCCGGTCCTAGGCAGAGTTTATAGCAAAGGTGCAGGTCGTGTGCCACTTGAAGACGTTAGGTAGTGGCTCGTTTAGGAAGGCTTTTTTTTTTTTTTTTTGATTCAAGCTTAAAGATTTTTTTGATGAGGCTATGATCACTGATAGGGTGAGAACGAGAAGGAGGAACTGCAGTCATCCTGCCTCCAGCGTGACCTTCTTGCCTTCGACTGATCTTAGACGCCTTGTGCACTTCGAGTGTATGCATGCAGCCAACCCGTGGCGGAAGGCATAAAGTGTGTGCTAGAGGCCGGGCATTTCAAAGACTCGCCCCGCCATTCTCATTTTGTCGGTGAAAATAGCTTGTGACAAAGCGGAGAAGTGATTGATTGATGTAATGTTTTAGGTCTTGGACACTGTAATTGTTGTCTTGAACGCTTTGCATTCAGACCCTCCTCCGACAAATCCAGTTTGTGTTCTAGCTCCGTCTGCTCTAGACCTGGACATTTCCTGTGTCAATCAATGAGAGTGTGCCCAGCAGTTGATCTCCGTCTTGATAACTTATAATGCTAGTCTGGAGAAGAGGGCGCACGAACGTGCCAACTAATATCGCACACATGGCCACGCAGACGGGCACATGGAACGGCCATTGTTCTGTTTTAGTTCTGAACGCAGACAATATTTTTTTTTTTTGGCCAGAGACAGCCACATTAATGTCTGCGGCGTCCAGGCATTGAGGCATTCTGTACATATTTTATTAGCTGTGGCTACCCTAGAAATGAGCGGATGCCAAGTGCTAGAAGTCTGGTTTGCGTCTTCATCTGAAATGGGCAATAAACAGCACAAACCAATTGTATGACCCTGAACGTGTGAAGTGTTTGCTCTGTCTGTCTGAAAGTTGGTGATTGGAAGAGTTACGAAAATTCAATATAGAGCGATTTTTTGGGTATGGGCTTTCTGCCTGGCCTTTGTAAACTTTTGGTAAGTAACTAAAAACTTTAGAAACCTTAGTAAGTAAAACCAATAAATAACATGTCATTTGCACTTGGCGCGCTTTGGTTTTTCGCGCTTGTCTGTTTTTTAGTCGCTTCGTGTCGCTTTTACCTGCGACCGTAAGAAATGAGGTTGACTACCTGGCCGCCTGACCTTCCCGACAGGGACCGCCACCGTTTGTTTTGGTGGCTCAATTTAGTTCTTGTTTCGCCCGTTTGGTTTGTCCCTTCGCGTTTTCTTCCTCTCTATTTTTTTTTTTTTTTCTTCGAAAGCGCGGTCGTAAGGATTCATTAACCCGTCCTCCGTACTATCGCCGCGTCACATATTTGGTCGTTTATCATCGTCCCCTTTCCTCGAATTAAAGCGGTAAATCGCTCGCTTCAGCGAGTCATGGCAAAGAAAGAAAATAAAACAAACAAACAACAAGAAGACCACACAATACACAAAAGCAGTCCCGCAGCACACCACAAGGCGCGCTTGTCCGCCATATTGTAGGGTCGGCGACAAAACCACTTGCTGCATGTTGGCGAAGTGCGAAGACCGTGGACGCGAATTTTAGATGAACTGTATGGCTATTATGAACGGGTGAGTCACTGTCACGTCCATTTGGACTCGTATTTTTTTCTGGGAGTGTGCAAGCGCCCGCCTGGCGTTCGGAAAACGGACAGTCGTGGTGCTCTAACCGGTCGGAAAAGGCCTAATGCTTCGCACGGGGGAGCGCAAACTTCTTTTTTTCTTTTTTTTTTGTTGAGTGACCCGCGCATATCACATGTTTACGTCGTCCTCTAATATCAATCGGGCTGTTGCAGAACGGTGTCTTGAGGGGCGTCTTCTCGTGTGTCCCGTCCGTTTGTTCGTCGTTTCGACGTTTCTGTTTTTGACGAAAACGTTGGCGCTCGCGCAATGATAAACAGAGCTGCGCTCGTGCCACGCGCAAGCCTTCACACGTCGTTGACTCATTTTTTGACCCGAGGCTAATGCTCTCTCGCAGCTCTGTCCAGCATGGTTGTTGTGGTCGTGCGTGCGTGCGTCTGGTTCGTCTAACGTTGTGTCCGCAGTGCCTAGGTTAAGTGGTCAACATAGTGTGACCGCTCATTCTACCCGATGTAAACTTTTGTTTCCGCCGCGATCTTTTTCCTAGTAGACGGGGAACTTTATTTCGACGTTCCGTTTTGCCCGCTACACGTCACACTAGGCCTCGACTCGGATCTCGTCGGTTTTCGTGGCGCATTGTCTGGTTTCAGATGCGAAAATTGACGGGGTAAGCATGGTCCAGTGTTTTTTTCGTTCATTTCCAATCGTAGTAGAGATATTGACGTTCAGGGACGATGATAGACTTAGCGGAAATCGACTTGCGGGTCGCCCGTGCCGCCCGCGTATCAAAGGTGACCGGGTGCGTTGTTGTTGACGGGGGCCTGTCGCTATTGTTCGAACCGTTACAGATCGTGATGTGTGATTGTAGGCGCCCTTGCGCCCGCCCGCCCTCGTCCTGCATTGATTGGGGCGACTTTGTCACGAGTACGCATGAACCGTTCGGGCGAGCAACAGGTGCCGTGCCTTTTTTTTACGGAACTCGCGCATGATGCTGAGCGATGCTTTGGAAGCTTTGACTCGGTGTGCATTGAGCTTGTGAGTTGTGATTTCGCTTTTTCTGTTTAGAGTTTATCGGTTAATCGCTGGGCGTGTTTCCCAGAACTGTTAGTCGGTGCAGCTGAAAGTTCAACTTGTTTTAAGGTTCTTTTTGTTTTGTGAATCTGATAAGAAATGTGCCTTGTCTCATCATTTTTGCAAAAGCTAGAGTAATTACCCGTCAAACTCCGGTGCAGGGGTTTCCCCAAGAATTGTAATTAGGGGTGTACAGCCCTCCTAGGGTGTGTAGGAAAATCACTGCTCCAATGTTCTATTTGAAAACGGATTACACACTGTTCGAAGGAACAAGAAAAGTAACAAAGAAAAGTGGGCAGTAGGTTCCATGGTAGACTCCATTTTGATTTTTAAATTGTTTGCTTAGAACAAGTTAAATTTGACGCAAAGGCTAGTTGGTGGAACATGCTTACAAATAGTGAGTTCAGCCAGGGCCGGATAAAGGAATTTTGGTACCCTAGGCTAAGGCTGTTCATGACTCATAATGATGGAGATAATACTGACTATGATGACGACGGTGGTGGTGGTAACGGCAGTGATGGCAATACGTATATTTCACCATCTTATGAAGTAATATTATCATTCATTTTATAATACATCTTATAAGGTTCCTGTATCGGTAAATTCAATGATTAGAAAATTTGGGTTTCACATGGTGGAAATGAAGCAGATGCGAATATAGATCAGAGGCTGTTTCGGAAAAGGTCAATCACTCGGTAAGAGGTGCAAAATGTAAAGCAATGAATGTTTCAGGAAGATGTTAAAAAGTGTCGCGCACATTGAACAGGGCCTCGTAAACTTCCGTTGAAAATATGAAAATGATGACTCCGTGTTTCCATGGACTTACTTGTTTATACAGTATGTGTCTCTGCCAACTTGCATAAATTCATCATGATGTTGAGTTAGAAACGGCACAGCTGACCCTCTTGATGTCGAGTGGCATAATTACTTGGGCACAGATTGCATTAGACAGTAACTGAAAAGATACCCGCAAAATTTCCATTACAAGAAAGAGAAAATTAACGATTTCACTGCCCCTAAAGACGTGACTCGCAAGTCGCAACTCAAAAATTGTCCTGAGAATACACTTCATGTTTTTATTCGTGATTGGAGCTCGTCTAACTAGGCTTCCTTTTACTCAAACAGTAAAGCAACACCGACAACAAAGTGATCTTGGTGGTTAAAGTATTTAGAGCTCAAACCTCTTCTAATAACTGAACTCTCATGTTCCAAAGTAACAGACGTCTGCATTCAAATAATAAAAGAAATTATTGAGACTGAATGCGATTCTAATATAGCAACTGCTGTCATTTGGGTGGATTCCCAGGGATTTCTCATGAAAGTCAAGGATATATTAAACTTCTCTTCAAACATGCTGTCTGTTTCAAGGAGAAGATGTTTCAGTTAGTTTTAAAGGTGGTCTTGGTTTTAATTGCAGTAATTAAGAACTTCTTTTAGCCATTTGGACGTATTGCTCTAAGACTAATAAGTCATACCTTGGAGGCTCGTAAAAAAATTGCAGCGATCATATCACTCGATGGCTGGAAGAGTATTTTCTTGCACTGGCAGATCAGACACAGGCTCCCGAGCAGTTGCGTGCAGTCACTGCCTCTCGAAAACTTTTGGGGGACATCTCAAGAGCCGGCTCCTTGATACGCCTGTTAGTGGTTAGAAAAGATGGCTTTGCTCTCTCCCACAAGGAAGGTGGGAGGTAACGCATACATTTTGTTGCCCTAGCACAGTCTTTTACAACATGCTCACAAACACCAGCTTGTCTAGAGAAGGGTAATTTATACATTCACAGTATCTCTACTCCACCGTTAAAAAAAAGGGGGGGGGGGAAAGAAGACTAGAAAGTCGGGTCCCAGATGCTCCTGTGAGTTCTATTCTTCAAGGCCTGAGCTGTTCTAAACTAAAACCAAATAGTCTCCCGTTTTTTTTTTCTTTAATTTTTGGGGGCCAGCATGGAGTTTCCTGGCAGGCTGGTGCCCTGGGCTGCAGCCTCCTTAGCCCGTACCTTAATCCGGCCCTGAGTACAGCGCTGTGTATGTTCCTTTTTCTTCCATGTCCATTGGTTGTGTGTGCTGTACTCATCATTAGAGAGCTACCACACTAAAGTTTGTGGAAAAGTCGAATCTAGAAATGAAATTGTCGCTGCACGCTTTATAGAAAAATCACATTTTACCAGTGCACAGGCGACTCAAGGAAGCAAATAACACAAGGTGCTGCTAAAGATGCTTGAAACGTTTCCGGAAGAAAACCAGTGAAACCTGCAAGCGTTACAGCGAAGCAGGAAGTACAGCAGTCATAGTTGATTTCAGGCAGAGCGAAAGGCATGGGAATGGCTGAGGCGCAACACAACACGGGACAGGCGTAACCTGGCGTTCAAGTGTCAAAATTGAAGACCAGAACTAGTTTATGTTTGAGAAGACATGCCGTCTAGGTATTTTGAATCATCTCTGAGCTCTGCCTTGTCTCTTCCTTGTCTTTTTATGTTCCCATGGTGAGTCTTGTGGATTGTTCTGGTTGTCGTCTCCTGGGACCGAAAATGCACTGCTAGAGAGACAAGAAACGGTTGAAAATTCCGATTCCATGGATTCAGCTTGCGCCATTCTTTTCGCAACTGGGGTGGCCCAGTGTTGTCAGGGTGTCGGGCGTAATTTCTCTGTCCGTCTTTACGACCAGCGGCAACCTACGTGGGAAAGAATCGCAATGTCTTTTCTGCCAGGCAACAGCAGTTTGCGCCAGATCGGAGATTGGAACGCTTGGTGTTGACTCAGCCCAAGGCCCGTGGACGTATCATAGGAGGGCGAACCGCGGTCGTGGAGGATCGAACGTATTGTCTCCAGTTAAGGCTGAAATGTGCCCCTAAGTAACACGTGATCTACTTGCGAGGAGCCATCTTGTGTAGATGACTTCTGCGTAACATGATAATTTTGTAGTGCCGTTTTTGACCGGTAAGTTGTGGGGTTATGGTTCCCAGTCCTTTCGTGGAAGTGCGCAAAAGATGCTTCTTGTCAGTGCCACTAGTGCAGCCATCCGTGTATCAGTATTTATTCCCGACGCCCACAGAGTGATTACTTACACCTCTGAACTTTTTGTTTCGCTGGAGTGTTCCGCAGAAGTTTTCGTCAAAGACGTCTGAACGTTGGAAGAATTGCTAAATTAAATTAGGACAAACGGTCAACCACGTAAAATGTTGGATAAGGAATTTTACGCGTACAGGCCA